GGAGACACTACCTCTCTGGAGCTTGGAGGTGGAGGGTGAGTGAGTGTTTGGTTTTCAAATTATATAGCCAAGTTTTTAAAAAAAATTAAATGGAAATAGGGACAATGGTAGGTGCAAGACTTACTAGTAAAATGGCTGAACTTACTTTAGTAAATTGTTCAGAGAAGATATCTCAGCAATCTGATTTCTGTTACAGACTGAGAGCAATTTCATTTGCTTAGAGTGACTGATGTTTGGCTAGTAGGGTTTGTTGCAGAGTTGTTTTGTTGGYTGGGGATTTTTCTAGCCAGGAAAAGAACCAGATGTTTTGGGTASATACATCACTCATTGCTGAAGAGGTTTGTCTCTGGAAGATAATCCCTGATGGCAATTTTGCCATGAGTTGCCAGGGTTTATCATGTGGTTCTTACTAAGCTATTTTTTCTGTTGCTGCACAGAGCAAGGATACAGACAGGGCATAATCTGGTCATGAGTTTCAAAGGTCAGAGGGTATGAAATTGAGGATTGAGGCTGTTCCTGCCAGTTAAAGCTTACTTGGAGGTTGCACCATGGGACAGCTGAGCATGATTTGCAACAGGAGCAGATAAACTTCCCTCCTCGTCCTTCTAACCAGAAGGTGCTCTGTCCACATCCAGACACCAGGGGAGGGACCCCAAGGTGTGTGCCCTGGTGTAGCCACAGCTGGCAGTGGGAGCAGCCGGGTGGCCCTGGGGGCTGTGAGCACTCGCAGGGTSCTACGCACTGCTCTGCTCACTGGTGCAACCAAAAGCAAGGGCACTGCTCCGTGAGCTTCTCGGCGAGTGCTTTGCCAGGACTGAGCTCTTCACATTTGGTCTAAGAGATCCTCAGAGTCACCTAGATTCCTCCATATCTCTTCTTTGATTGTTTATAGAGCTTTCAGTATTTTTACTGTTCTATATAACACCAGATTTGTTGTGTATTTCCTTTCTAGTGGCCGGTTTGGCTTATGGTTAGATGCAGATTTGTATCATGGGCGAAGCAACTCCTGCAGCACCTTCAATAATGACATCTTAACTAAGAAAGAAGATTTCATAATACAAGACGTAGAAGTATGGACATTTGAGTGAAACACTGACTGCCTTAAGGACTGGATCCATTAGGCACTTAAAAGCTATTCAGAAGGTGCAGGCTGCCTCACAACGTTACGCGCTTTTTCCTCAAGTTTGTACCAGAGCATGACTACGCAAAAAAACCAAACAAACAACCCAAGAATAAAAGAATTTGTTTTGAGAGGCAGTAAGAGACAGAACAGTACGAGATCACTCTGAAATGTTTTTTACTTCCTCTACCAACACTCTTCCATTGAAGATACAATGCTTATGAAAACATTCATGATGTATAAGTTGAAAACTTTTTATGTAACTGTGAAAAAGATCCTGTGGAAGAACTGTATCTAGTACATTCCATGTGTATTTATGTTCAACATGCAAATGCTGACCAAAAATAAAATGTTACTTTACCAAAATCTACAGCATACTGTTTGCCGTGGAAAAGAATCAGAAATAGGTGTACACAGCACTTAAGGGAACATGTTTTTAAAATAATTTTATTTATTGTTATTGTATAATAGATTTTTTTTGTAAATTTATTAGTTATGAGTTTTTTTGTTCAATGTTTCAAATCTCATTTTGATAAATAATTACTGTTGAGGTAGGTTTCTTATGCATTGGCATTTATTCTGAATCAATTTATTTGATTTCTGAAGTTCATTTTTATATTTTTATTTTGTAAATGAGATGTGGTTTTCATTATACCCTAATTAGAGGGTTCATTTTCCTGGCAGAAACACTTGAGTGCATAATTCTGTTTCATTTTCTTTTCCTGAAATGAGGGAGAAAGTGGATAGTGCTTCTTCTTAACTCTGCTGTCACATTCCTGTTAATAGATTACTATTTTGGCAGTGTATGGAGACATTGGGTAACTGCCCCCTGCTGTAGACTTTATCAGTTCTGYTGCAGTCCACAGAATTGGGATGGCATGCTCTGAGCACCTGCCCAGTATTATTTGACTGTTTACGAAGGACATTTTTTAGAAATAACTGGTTTTCTGTATGACCACCAAACGATTCAAAACAAGCCACCCACTGTACTTTTATGAGCATTTCTCTACAAATTGAAGAATTTATTAAGGAGAAAATACAAATGAGATTTAGAGAACATTCCTAACAGGCCAGATCATGTTAGTGTAAAACTTGTTTTCCTAGTAATTACATATATAATTAACTTTAAAAAAATACTTCAAGCAGCAGTCTGGTTTAGGATTTGACAGGCAACTAAATATTCKTGTTTGGATTTAATGAAATTACCAGATACTGCCTCCCTCACCCCCGCCAAAGCTGAAAAGACAAAATGAAAATTTTGGTAAATGGGGAGAGTGYGAGCGAGGACTGGAAATCTTCACTGTTTGCTAAAGAATTCTGCTTTGCCATTAAACTGTGGTTTTGTTTAAAGAATCTGGGCTGAACCAATATTAGGAWTATGTCCTGCCCTTAGACTTGAATGTTTCATTGTCCTGAGAAAGGCAGGTTCTGGAGACAGTASTGTGCATTAAAACAGTACTGTCTAATGTTGGAGTATTATTAACTGAGTAATGCAACTCAGTTAAGTTACTGCTCTTTCTTTTTTGAATAGATTAAATAATTAAAAAAATAAAATCCAATGCTTTTCTTTCAAAAGCATTTCTAAATCTTAATCCTGCACAGAAATTTCACAGTCTATAAAAACAATGCTATACACAGTAAGCCTGTAACACRCTGCACGTGAGCTTTTCACACTTCCTTTCTTTGTGGTCTACTACAGCCATAATTAAAGTTCTTATTGGTAATGCTTTAAAATATTTTGGAAGTTGCTAACAGCATAATGCTTTGAAGATACCCAGAATATCTAACACTATTTGCTCTTTTAAATGGTGGCAGAAGACCACTTAATAGTTAAAAAAGTCCCCCAAAAAACAACAAAAAATCCCCACAACAAACAAAATGAAACCAACCAAGTTCAACATTTTGCATACATTTCACTATTGCTACCTACAACTTACTCCATTATATTATCCTTGTCAGAACATAYCTAAATGCCGTGGTCTGTATTCAAAACAGTGTTGTTCAATCAAAATTCTGTGACCCTTGAAACTATGAATATTAAATATATGTAATGCAGTGCTATCACAATATTTTCAATAAAGGAAATTATGCATTCAGAAACTTGTTACAGATGCTTTCTCTTTTCACAAACTTTGGAACATTTTAAGGATGAAAGGATGCAGCTTAAATTACAGGTTATGCTGACAAATACTTGTGCCTCCTCATAAAATTTCAGCAATACCATATTTTATAAACATAGATAAGGAATTTAGATCTTTTACTGGGGTTGGTTTTGGGATTTGTTTTTTTTTGTGTCTGTTGCACGGTGTGTCCTAAAAGAGAGCTGTGTTTTGAATACACCCCGAGAGAGACATGACAAAGGGCTAAGAAATGCCAGGAAACAGTTAAACAGTTGACCTGGTGATTCTTGCTGCTACTCTCAGCTGTAGTGAATGACATTTATCCCCTYATCTCTTTTGACCAACCTCTTCCCAGAAGTCAAAAGTCCATGTGCATAATTTTTCTGTGCACCCTTTTCATACTTCCAAAGTGTTCATGTATATTTTTATGTCCAGCCAAGCAAGGCAAAGATGTCTTAAAAGTACCTGGTACTTGGGGTTTATTGGTTTTCATTGTATACAGACGTGGCATTAAGAGAAGAAAACTACAATTACTGAACAAGTTGTGAAACCGAGTAGGTATGCTATCCCTGAGCCTTGCTTCGAGTGAAATGGCAGTAACAACTTCCCTAAAGTAACTGGAAAATTATGGTCACTAGTAATTTTTCTATCAGGGAGAACAGGGGCTTGTTTTTGCACCATCAAGGATGTGCTCCTTCAGTGGTACTTTAATAAAGATTTTTGATCCAGGACAGTGTACAAATGCACACTCACAAATCAGGCTTGTCAGTAGCCAGGTAATTGCAGATATTTTATTTGGTGCTGTTTTAAGGGGAGGTTTTGTACTGGATGTTTTGCACAAAGCTGGCTTTAGAGTAAAGGAAAATCTAATTACTTTTAGAATAATCCTCATTCATAAACTGTAAAGATTTGATTTGCCTGTTTGTAACAGAGAAAAAGAGCAGATTAGGTCATTGCAAAGGGATTACCTAGCACTCTGCAGGTTGACACATCTGGCAAGTGAGCTGCTTCAGGTAGAATAGCTAACCATCTCCAGTTTGTGCAGGCACAACTTGCTTTTCAAAAACAAGCATTTTTGAAAATCTCAGTCAAAATTTTTCATCTCATTACCTTTTTAAAGCCTGTAGCCTGTCATCTGTGGGGCAAGTGCTTTGTGCCTTTTGAGCTGAAGTATACAGACATTTAAATTCCAGGGTCAGTGATTCTCCAGCTCTAGCCTAATGAACTAGTGCAAATGATTTTAAATACAAATTATTAAAGGAACATTTTTAGAAAATTAAGGCTAACTACYACTTGCCAATACCCTCTGTTAGGTTCAGTAGCAGTTGACAGGATGAGGGTGGTGGAACAGGTTGCCCAGAGAGGCTGTGGAYGCCCCATCCCTGAAAGTGTTCAAGGCCAGGTCAGATGGAGCCCTGAGCAACCTGGTGCAATGAAAGGTGTCCATGCCCATCTTGGCTCTCTAACAGAAATAGACGGTCTTTAAGGATCCTTCCAACCCAACCCATTCTGTGAATCTATGAATTATCTTACTTTGACTGTGAATTAGTATAGCTGTCATGAGCAGGCAACAATTTCAGGGCTGTCAGTTTACGCAGGTAGAACAAACATCAGTCTTTAGTCCTCAGTTTTCGGTGAAAACTTCATAGCAAACCCCAAAGGATCTCCGCGTGTGCCCGGCGGGCGGAGCGGGCTGTGCCAGCGCTGTCTCCCGGGGCCGGGCGCTCCTCCCTGGGCGGGCGGGGCGGCGGCAGCGGGAGGGGCCGGCAGCGGCACCGGGAGCAGCACCGGGAGCAGCGCCATGGCCGGGCCTCAAGCCGCGGGTGGTGCCGCCACCGCCGCCGCCGCTGAGGGGAGCGAAGCCGGGAATGGCGGCCGCGAAGGCTACGACGGGAAGTGCGTGTTCTGCAGGATCGCCCGCCGGGAGGAGCCGGGCACGGTGCTGCTCCCCTGYGAGGTGGGTGAGGGGCCCGCCCTCCTTCCCCGCTCCCTCACGGGCGGGCCCCGGGGTCGCGGTAAGGCCGGGCGGGGTGAGGCGGCTCCGAGGGCCTTCAGCTCCTGCACGGACACAGCAAGGAAATATAGATCGGAGGGAAAATACAGTGCTTTCCGTAAATGTTGGCACACCAGCCGGAAGCCTTGAGGCTGACGCCGAGGAATCCTGACTGCGGAAGGTCAGCAGCAGACGCGCACCGTGCCTGGAGGCTGCCTCCAAAAATCCTCGGCTTGTGTTGCGAGTTGCGCCAAATGTGATATTCGATATCGCATCGAGATGGGGAATATGGACATTCTTACCTACTGTTTGCCAGTATCTTCGTCCTAATCCATTTTAATACATTTGCATCCTTTTTTAGGATGAAGACCTTGTTTGCTTTAGAGATATAAAACCTGGTGCCCCCCACCACTACCTGGTGGTGCCCGTGAARCACATGGGAAACTGCAAAACACTGAAGACAGAGCACATACCTCTCGGTAAGGCTGAAAGTGTGCATACTCTAAGGAATTTTCCTAAAGGAAAATCACTTTTCACAGCCTGAAATAGGGTGTTGTCAAGTAAATTACARCTTTGGACACCATTTGTAAACATGGAATTAGCTGATGTGAGTGAGTGTAGATAGGCACTTACCTTTTCTGGGAAATTCTGTGTGTAGTTCTAGAAAGGCACCCTTTTTTATGCAGTTCTGGAAAAGCATTGCACGAGTGCATGAGATCTCATCAGTTTACAGATGATTATAGATGCCTCTGCACTTTGTTGGAAGTACAGCTTTATTTTTAAAGCATTTATGTGCTGTTTCATTGCACTTCCTTAGATACGTATATGCAATTTTAAAAGCTTACAGAAGAAGTTCATAAAATGTGTACTTTCAATTAAGTGCTACATTATTTGTCAGGACATAAGGGAGTGACAGATGAAAACAGGAAATGGTGTTCCAGGAAACTTAAAATTTTTTTTAAAAAATAAAATTCTAAAATATTGAAGCTATGATTATTGTTACTAGGCTTGTTTGGGTTGCTTGTTTTTTTTCTTTTCCCTTAGGAAGACATTGTCCTAGAACTTGTTTCACAAGATATGCCTAAGTGTGTTGAGTAACAGAAGAAACTGCAGCCATGAAGAGATTCCACCTTAGGGCAAATTGTATTTACATGATACAAGAAAATAATAATGGTTGCACTTTTCAAATCTTGCATCACTGTATTTCTCTTGTAAACATAGTTTTTTCTCCAGAAAAAAAACTTCTGTATGTGTTTGGCTTCAAGGCAATTCTTCTGACTTCTGCCTTGAGGTTTTTGTATTAGGGTTGCTGCATTGTGCAGTGGTAATGAAACTGTCCTAGTAATAAGAAAGACTGACGATTTTATTTTAATTTAAATTTATGTACCCTCTCTGAAATTTACTCCAGGCTTCTCAGGACCTGGAGATCAAAGTCCTGTAGCTGTGTAGAGATACAACACTGGAATTAGTGTAAAGTCATCATTGTGATCAGTACTTGTTGGGTTTTTTAATAAGGGTGTGGTGATAGGATGGCTTTGGCCAAAGTTCTTWGAATAATGTAACACTGAAAAGCATTGCAGGAGTGGAAGTTGGTATCAGTGGCAATTTTCAAGTAAATCATTGCACACAGTCTCCTGATTGTCTTGTTTGACTAGGAGTAGTTAGAGTGTTTATAATTAGAAAAAAACATGTCTGTTTTYTCAAAGTAATCAGTCTGTTGAATTTAGTATTTCTGAAGAATACCTTTTTAAAATGAAATTTKTCTTTTAATAGTGAARAGAATGATGGAAGTTGGAAAAGCTGTTCTCCAGAAAAATAATTTTAGTGACTTGAATGACGTAAGGTATGTATTTGAAGCTTTCCATCTTTCTATTGAGTGTGTTTTTTACTTTACAGAAGGTTACTTTAGAGATAGTGGAAGATCTTCCACTGTGATTTATTGAAGAAATTAGGTCTACRTTCAYTTACTGCATGACTTCTCAATTAAAATCTGCTGGCATTGAATATAAACATTTTTTTCTGATTGAATATAAACTTTTTATTCACAAATTGTGTTGCAGCTCTGAGATTCTTTCTTGAACACATCTTGGAATAGGGAGGACACTTCAGACAACTTAGGAAGAGGCTGCTTTTTCATTATGTACTGCAAATATGCTCCAAATCCTAGATGCCAGAAGAGAGTTAAACTTGGGCCTATTGAATCAGGGCAYTACATTTTGTTTCAATCACACCAGCAATATAAATACAGCTGAAATAAACTGTAACRTAATCTAAGTAGTGTAGAGAAATAGAGAACTGGGTCTTCATGATTAAAATTGATAGTTGGCTTTCCAGCTGAAAACTAGATAGGGTACATTTAAGATACTTTTTCTTTTAACTCCTTCCTGAAAAAATGTGTCTTAAAGACAGAGATGTGAAGGAGAAAGTTAATGGGCTTCTTAAAAGCTTTTTTTTGTGGTATAATAAAAGGGCATATTTTTATTCTTACTTTTATGTACAATGAAAATGTGATGAACTGTTAGTTCTGTGGATCATGTTAAACAACCTGTGATTCTTTCTGAATTAACCTTGCACTTCTTCCTGAATTAACATCACCATTGTCTTGTACTTCTTTCTCTTTCTGAAGAATGGGTTTTCACTGGCCTCCGTTCTGCTCGATAGCCCATTTGCATCTTCATGTCCTGGCCCCAGCCAGTCAGCTGGGATTCTTATCCAGGATCTACTACAGAATCAATTCCTACTGGTTTATCACGGTAAGTGTAGTGCAGTTGAGCTTTGCAATAGGTTTTCAATTGTGAGCTGAAAATGCCATGTCTTTCCAACTTTTCAACTGTGTCCAAAAATTCTCTGACCAATCATTTTTGTTGTTACATTAATTCTTAATTATGTATATTTTGCATTTAATGTTTGAGAAAAAATAAAGGTAAAAACCTTAATGTTTATRCTTATTAAGGGGAATGGAGTGCTAATAACAACAAACAGTACAATAGTTCTGGATCTTGCCTGAAGCTCAGGCTCTGTGATGTGCTTCTGTGGACACTCTGTAAGTATTTGGGTTTTAGTTTAAAAGGATATATTCAAATGTGATGGACTGTTTTGCACATASCCTGGTTAATCCTGTGTAGGTAAAACCACAGCCACCTAATGATGGCATTTATCACTTCATATGTTTTTTCTCATCTTGCCATTATTAGACTAAACCAAGTATTTKCTTTACAAAAACATTGTTTGTACTGATTTATGTCAGTAGAGRTTAGCAATGAGACTGAACTGAYATTGACTAAAGCACTTTGAAAATCWCTCTTGAGATCTAAACCTCATTTTCACTGCTTTGATACAGCAAAGCACCTACCTTGGCAAGGCAGATGCAGCATCCTGGTACCATTGCACATTCCCAAATCAAAGTTGCTGAAAAAGATCTGTTTCATATAAAGGTTATAGACAGCTTTTTACTTAAAGAGAAGAAACACATCTTCTTCACAGTGGGACCTTGCTGAAGATCACGCCTTGCTCACAAATAGCAGATGTGTCTGCTGAGTTATTGAGCATCTTACAAATATTTGTCCCTCAAACACATACAGCTGTGTAGTTTTACTATTTAGTATCTTGGATTAGTTCAGGCAGATCCATACTAAGTCCAGCTATCCAGTATGAATGCACTTTGAAAGGTATTTTGCTCTGTTGTCAAGTTGGAAAATGTACTTGTGTTGGTCATGGTTTTAATTTGTTTTTTTTCAATTACAGTGTCTTGAATATGGTTTAAGAATGCCAAACAGGGTTCAGATAATATAATTTTCAGTAGCTACATGGTTTATTTGTAAATAAACTGCAGTAACTACTGAAGTCCTGTTGAGATGCTTCTACCTTAAGAAGCTGATTGCATTTTTACTGTCTGAAAAAAAGTGAAAAAAAGTAAAAAGCAAATGCTCTGTTAGTGTCACTGTTTATAAAATGGAATTTTCACTAAACTGAAGGCTCATGGTGTTAATGCATTGATTTCTCTCTTTCATAGGCTGAACAACTGATCGAGAGATTGCAAACTGAAAATGCTGCCAGCTGAAAGCTTGTGTTGTTTGGTCTTTGAGCTCTGATTTAAGGTTGCACAGTTTGATGTTGCCAATAATATCCCAGGATAAAAAAAGCTTTAGTTCCTTATGAGGAAATAGAGAATTTGTAGCTGCCAACCTAATTCTTCCATTTGGATACTTCAGTCTGTATGCTTCCCTGGCAATAGCATGATGTATTTCAGTTATAATTTTGTATTTGTGTATATGTATACATCATCTACACAAACACATGCACACAGGCAGAGAACTTTTCCTATTAAAAGGCAAAGTGTAGCAACAGAATGTATTGCAACCAAGGCAACAAGTTACAACTAACAGCATGTGAACAGTGCCAAAGGGAGTATTTGTTGCGGAATCAAGCTTTCATGTTCAAGAATAATTATTCTGGGATGGCAGGTAACATTTCAAACATTTGTTCCCATCTGCATTTGTATGATGTGTTACATATGCCTAGTAATGAGTAGGTACATTGCTGAAAATACAGTACTGACTTTCTGGTGCTAAAACCGTTCAATGTTACCTGCCTCGTTTGCATCACAGTGACACCGTAAATGTCAATACAATATGTTCCCAAGATGTGATAATGCTGTATAACATAGTATATAGTTTATATGTAAATAGATTTAAAGATTTTTTCCATCTTATGTGCACAATATTTGAAATTAGTTATTATATGTTTACAGAAAATGTGAAGAGTTCAGAAAAATGGATTTAATGTTTTAAAATTCTGCATGGCAGTAGATTGAAAAACCCAGATTTTCTGATTTTCCAATTCTCACTGGAAGTCCCTTGGAGATTACTAATGCTTGGCTGAATTTGGATTATAAATGAAGTCATAAGAGAAGCTGGTCTTAAATGCAGTGTGTGTGTGGCAGGCTTACATAAGAGCAATGTGATTTGACTTTGGRATAGCAGGGACTCAGCCCAAAATTGGAACATGCCAAGTTGCTTAAGGAACCTGCTGAACATTTGCCTTTGCTGCATGACTCTAATCAGGAATGCTAGCACTTGTTTTTCAATACCATAATAAGGCAGACTGTTTGGAAAGTTAAAACTCCAGAACACATGGAGTGGATTTTCTTTGTTCACAGAGCACGTCTTGGTGCTGAACTAACCAAGTGCCCTTGCCTGATGCATTCAGATGCAGCTGAGGTGAGAATGTTGCACCTGCAAGCTTCCCTGAACATAAAAGTTTCTCTGTTTTCCACRGATCCAGCACCTGTTGCCTTAGTGATACAGTGTACTGTAATATTCTTACAGTACTTCTGAGAGTCTGCACTCTTCTGAAGAACAGCATTTTCCACCTGGAAGAGTTGACACCCCTGTCTCTCTTAAGAGCCTCTTCCTGATGTCTTGTTCTTATTAGTGGGCACTCACATGTCATTTGCCACCCTTTGGGGTTTTTAATTTGTGACATTTGGAAGGAAAAGTGTGACTTAAAGCCACTGAACTTTGACTGCAATAGATGAGGCGGTTTGAACTTCCTAACTTAATGAAACACCTGAACATTAAGGATTTTCAAGAATYACTACTGTGTATGGGTTCTGATCTGTAATTAATTTATGTAACTATACTAAACTGTGACATAATATTTAAGATAMTAACATGAACTGTTGTCAAAAAGGACTGATAAGTAGAATAAACGCTAATCTTGGAATGATTTTCCAGTGCAGTKGAATAGTTGACTGTGTGGGTTGACCCTAGATAGCCCTTTCCTCACTCTTCAGCCCTCACCCCAGTGGGATGGGAGAATAGAAAGACCAAAAGAAAACTCATGGGTTGAGATAAAGACAGTTTAATGTGTAAAGGAAAGGGGAAGAAAAAAGCAAAGGTATTCACTCMTGACCTCCCACAATCAGTCCAGTAGCAATGGCCCCCACCGCTCCCCCAAAAAAGCCCTTTCCTCAGCTTTTATTCCAGACAATRTATGTCATGGAATATCCCTGCTGGCCTGTGTTAGGTGTGCAGGTTGTGGTCTCTCCAAGCTTTTTGCCTACTGGAGGGGSAGAACAGGAAAAAGAGAAGGTCCTGATGCTGTGCACACACTGCTCAGCAATCACCAGAACTTGTATGTCACCAACACCCTTCCTTTCCAGTCACACCCAAAACCTGGGATGCTCTGWAGGAATTTACCTCCATCCTAGACAGACTGTTGCCAAATGAACACAAAAGCACAAAGGCCAACTTCTATATCTTAAATTTGGAGAAGGGTCCTATTAATGGGAAAGGTAAAAATTTGGGTATAATGTAGCTTCCAGACTTTTGCTGATGAGCAAGATGGGGAATTCCCATGTTTCCTGACAGCGAAAGACAGGGTTCAAAATTGCTGAAACAACAAAGCATTAAATAGAGGCACACTAATTACTGAGAGGAATGCTCAGCCTCTCGTTAAGTGTTTTTTAGCACAGAACTGTGGTCTGTTTTCCCTCTGCATTGACAAGCATTCTTGGACTCCRCAGATAATTTTTTTAATTAGGTGAAGAAATACTTTCTGAAAAGCTTATCCTAATACTTCAAATACATTTCTGAATAACTGGCTAGCCCATGGAAGAGGCAGTGAGCAGGTTCCAATAGTTATGTCACTGTCTTCTATGAAGCTTTTAGTAATTTTGAAACTTCAGAAATCATTTGTWCAGCTTTCCAAGGAGCAAAGATCAATAAAGAGAATGAATTCAGAAGCTCTTACTCTCCAAGAGCCTGGAGGAGTAAAGTTGTTTAGCCACTGCTGCTGGCTCTGTTCTTCGATCCAGTATTAGCAGTCCTGAGAAAAGCTGCTTTTTTGACCTCATGTTTAGGAATGACAAAGCTTTATTTGTACTGTTTTGCTCAMTTGTTTTACATAAACTCCCAACCTAATGCGAACCCAGAGAATAATGCTTTTATGCTGAAGTACTAACTGCTCGCTCTGGAAGGATGAAACAGATACACACACAATGCTGTTAAAAAGAAATTGTGCTTAATTGGTAATAACTCCTCAGACCTTTCCAAAGTCTTTTTAAGTGTGAGTTGTAAATAAAAGCAGGAAAATGGAAGCAAAACAGTGAAAATTGTATTTGAAATCTGACAAACTTGGAAACAGTGAAATACTGGATAAAACCTCTGTCATTTCAAACTAATGAGCAACATTTATTGAAAGGGTTAAAGTGCCTTCAGTGTTTGACAAGACAATCCACAGATAATCTCTATATGATGTACAGTCCAAAACAAATGCAGAGTTTACAGACTTCAACTGGAAGGAGAGGAAAGACCACTGACAGAATCTGTCACAAAATGAAGTTTAGGAGAGGTTTAAAGAGCTGAAAGATACTTAGTAGGGCAAGAACGCCTTTTAGAAGGTTGGAGTTTACTTACTACTCYAAATAATCTGTAATGCTGAAACTCCTCACATGCTACAGTTTTTGCAAAAAAAAAAAAAATCTGTTCCATTTACTCTAATGGGAACCTACTGAAAAAATAAGTTACATGTTGAAAAGTTTAAATTCCTGTTTCATCTGTGGATGTTAATCTAATCACATCACAGATGAAGAATGGTAATTTTTTTAAACTTGCAGCTAAACCGAGTCACATGCATTAGATATGATGCGTTCATGACTATACAGGCTTCGGGAGTAATTTTTTATTCTGCAGAGTGCTGGTGGGCAAGCTGACCAGTTCTATTATCTATCTTTTAGTTTTTTTTTTTTTTTTTTTTTTTTTTTTTAATACTGGCTTTTGCTGGAAGCACGAGATTGGATTTGTCAACCAGTGTGCTGAGCCAGTTTGGCAGCTCAGTGTTTATAATCACTGCATGGGCACACAGATTTCAGTCACTGTTTCCAGAATACTCATCTAAAGCTGGCAGGTAGGAAATGTGGCCCTGTAATTGTTTACAAAAAAAACCATCCCTCTATAAATAATAGTTTTGTAATACAGTAATCATTTGTTCTATTAAAAATGTAATAATAGAGCAAGGTTTTTTAAATTGCTTACAAAGTARGTATGACCATGTCATTAAAGGGCTTATTCTGCCTCTCTTTTGATCAGAGGTGTGCTTTAAGCACTTGCAGATGTACTCAAGCATCTACCACTTCCATGGCAGTGAGAGCCTAGATTACTGATCTTTCACTACTTGAGCCAGCCTTAATTAAAAACTAGTAACTTTACATGGGCTGGACTTGCATCTYACAGGCTACGTACTGCCTCACATGTAAGTCTTGCAATAAGTTATTCGTACAGTGTTCAGCAATCTTATTTTTCCTGATAYTGCCATCCTATTATCAGCTGGTGACACTTGAAGTGCCTGATGCTGCTTCCTGCAAGTTGTGAGCTAACASTACAGCAGAATTGAGTGGATTTCAGCATTCTTAGAATCAAACAAAACTCATTCCATAGCTGCATTATAAAAAGCTCAATTTATTTTGAAATCCAAATGTATGCATAGACTTCCTCTAAAGGGTGCTGAAATACCCTGATGTGTGCTCATGTCATTTGGCAAGAAATACTTTTCAAAAAGAACAAAGCATTGTAGATATGCTAAGATCACAAASTGCATGTCTTGTTTTCAGCTGCAAGATGTAGATTTGTTTACAAAGAAGCAGTGGGCCTGAAACCTAAGGAAATACACCAGCAGTGCCTGGTGCAGAACATATTCCCCATTTTCCAATGTGGTAAAATTATGTGGCGATTAAAACTCATTCTCTACCTGTATCTGACTCCCCTGTTCCCCAGATACACTTAATTCAGCACATTAATTTCTTCCCTTTTTTTTCTATTTTCGTCATCTTTCCACCAGAAAAAAAAAAAAAAAAAGAGGCAGGGCAATAATGAAATCCTCAGTCAAAAGACTTGGGTTTGATGCAAATCGCCATTGGATGAAAATATCAAAACAAAACCCCATTCTTTTAGGCTTTTTGCAATAGAAGTTCTTTTATATAAATAGGATAAAATAACACATCACTTTTATCAAGTTCATAATTTATATTAAATTTTAATATCCTTTTGATGTAAGAGAGTATCTTACCTTAAAGACCCATCAAGTAGTGAACACCACAACACCACACAGAAGCTCTTATTTACACGGATAAAAAAATAGAACTTTAGATTTCTAAGTATACAGCTTTATTGGTGACAGCTATTGTAAATACAGCTCCTGATTATTTTCCATAGCACTATTACAATTATTTAATATTACCAATCCTTTATTTTTCTTTTCAACAGCCTGGAGAGCTCACAACTGTGCTCTGAAAGCAGGTAAACGAGATATGGGACTGTGCTGCTATACTTCTATTTATCCATTTTGTCATACAGTATTTCTACTCTCCTCTTGTAAAAAGCATTGCTACATTTTGGAGAAGGAAGAGCCTTTTTTTCCCTTATGAATGCACAGGTGCCCCAATACAGAGTTTCTGTTCACTTTTACATCTTTAAATTGTGGTACCCTGCCTTCTACGAAGGAGTATAGCTGAATTCACCAAAAAGGGTGCAGACCTTTGAGAACTTTTTCCATAGTGTTAGAGGAACAGAACCGGTAAAAATGGTGTGAGATACAGAAGAAAAAGAACAAGAGATACAGAAGGTTTGAAGAAGATACAATTGCAATATTAGACTATTAAATACCAGAACTAGTGCAGCTCTCCAAAACAGAAGCAAGATGCAACTAATTTAGGAACCATAAAATATYCTTGCTGTGATATTCTTGTAAGTTTGGGAATTTCCATCTACTTCATGAAAATAACCTCCATTTATTCAGTTTACCCATGTGAAATTGAACCTAAACTTTTGTTGTATACTAGGCTCTTTGTTTGAAGAAGTATTTTAATTCCCACRAGAGTTTTCAATTCCACATTTTACAAATCCCATTCTCCCATGCAGTARGCATTTCACAATCTGCAAGAACCAGTGTTGTACGATAGCAAGCTAGATTTATACTCGCAGTAACCTAAAAGCAGTAAGCCAGCTGAGTTATTAAARGAACTGTCATACACTTGATAGTAGATAAGGACAATCCAATGTGAGTTGAACTAGCTCCTAAGTTGTGATTTCTGTCCAAATATACCATTTTAACAAAAATATGCTTTAACCTTCTCACCCATTTCCTTCTCCTGCTTGTGTSCCAGTAGGTAGCTGAGTTGAAATTCTGTAATCAAAACCTGTCAAGATGGTATCTAGGTAAGTTTTTTCCAAATAGAACCCTGCAGCAAAGTTCATTCCATGACAAAGCCTTATTGTAGTAAAGTGATGACCACATCATCATCTTTTCCTTGCCAAAGCATTTCACCTTCAAAATGAACTAGRCCATGTTTTCTGGCTCTTAACAAGATTCCCACTACTTTATTGGAAATAGTCACGTATGTTTCAAACAGCTGCCCAAATGTCACGCTCACRTGTCCATCTTCTCCCACCTCTCCAGTTCTTCTGATGATCAAGCAGAGCTCTTCTACTTCCTTACCCACGTGTGAGTGAGCATCTTTSCCTCTCTGCTCTGTCCGAGACCCTTCAGGGGGTCTCCCATAGGTAGGATCTCCTCTGTGAGTACGCACAGGTTTAGATGCAAACCTGTCGTCACTGCTGAACGGATTCTTCCTCTGATACTCAATGTGATCCTCTGCCCAGGTCTGCCAACTTCTCCTCAGGTCACCCACGGCACCGGTAGCTTTAGCATTTTGCCCTTTATCCCCTTCCATTACTTGAAAATRTTTTATGGCACTCAAGCAGAAACCAGGAAACGAATCAGTGACTGGCTATAACTGTGGTTCCTGTGTGCACTGTCAGCTGGGAAGGAAAAACAACAAATCAGCCTGGTATTTTTTGAAAGAGTTTTGCCCGAGTASGAGGCAAGGCTGCTGAAAAAGACATTAAACATCTGAAGATTTTGTTAAGTCCACCCGTGATTCTATAGCAATGAAGAAAGCAAAAGTGATTCAGCTGAAATTCAGAACTAATGTAGGAGCACAGGGCAGTAAGTTATGCTTACAAGGTTACACGATGCTCCACCGGTTCCGCAGTTACCGAGSAAACCCCGCAGCCTCCGTGCAATACATAGTGCAGTACTCACTCTTCTCGCAATGACGCCTTTTCAAGAACTTTATCCTGGCAGCCGGCAGCCCCGCTGACTTCCCAAACAATCTGATGTTGTGCTGGCTGAGCTGGGGAGTGAACAAACCATTCCCGAGCGGCAGCAGCCGCACACCAACCCATGCACGGGGGTGGGAAGCCTTTCTCCTGCCTGGGCGCTGAATAAAGGTGGACAAATTCACGCCGTGCCGACAAGGTTCCCTCGGACAGTGGAAGCTATTATGTACAGAAAATATTATCTGGAGCCGAAACGCCAACACATGGTGGGAGCAGGGGGATTTTCCTCATCAGGCACTGCAAGGAGAAGTAAAAATCCAGTTAGCGAGTGCGTCGCTGTYTGCAGCACCCTATTTAGTGAAGAAGACAAAGGCAGAATAGATTGTTCTCCCTTAAAAGGCTGTGCTGCACAGCCATGTCTGCCGGCTACAGCCCAAGGGCCGGCTGCAGGGAGGGAGATGGCACTCCAGAGGTGCAAGTCCCTTCCCACTCCCGGTTTGAGGGCTGCCCCCCACCTGTGGCATTCTATGGGTTTAGATTGTGGATTGTCTGTGCAGAGTCTGATGAACTGGGGACAGACTTTTATATACCTACAGAGATCTGCATGTGCTATAAYCATGTCTTTGCCGGGTCGTATCGTTCACCTGTTGAAATATGCAAACTGGAATTTCCAGGTAGCACGTAAGTAGAGCTGATACTTTTACGGACATTTGAAGWTAAAACACAGGATCAGTGCTGGATTTTCTATGGGGAAGTGGACAGAAATGCAAATTCTGAACAGTTTAACTAAATTATGTAGATTTGTTATTTTTGTTTTTTGAAAATATGATTATTTTAAAAGCAAGATTTGATGGCCCACATGGACATGTTGGTGCTGTTAGCACATGAACCCGTGAGCAGCGACAGCGTTCACCAAATGGCCCAGCAGAACCTGTAGGTCACAAAACACTTGTGTTGCCTCTGCATTTACAAGAGTGCACAGAACAAGAAGAGTGGCAACATAATCGCTGCAAAAAGGAATTGGGAATAATAAGCAACAGCACACATGAAATAATGGCTTTTCATTATTGGTCTCTCATTTTTAAATTGAAACTCATGATTGTCGTATGATCCCATTGTTATATTTTTTGAGAGAAAGGTGGTTAATTATAGCTTCCTGGATAAATTTCAAATTGAGTAATTACACTTTGTATATATAAAATTACCCTGAAGGCTTAGAAGGGAATTTTTTCTTCCTTTCCCTCACTAAATTAGTTATGTAATGTTTTTAAGATGACTTCTCCACATTCACACTAACAAACTTCTTGATTCTCTTCAGTGGCATTAAAAGAATGTATGTTCCATTTCCAAACATAGCAATTGAAAAGTGTTTTGTTTCTATGTTAGAATYAAATACCCCGTAAATCTTACTTCATAATGTACATTCACTTTCAAACTAAGCTGAGCAACTTGTATACACTGCCAGAGATTTTGCATGAATCCTCAAATCAAAAGCAATAAATAAAAAAGGACTTTTGTTAAAGTCTTCTGTAGGAGTCAGTAGCAGTGAAAAACAGGTATTCATTCACCTTGTGAGAACAGACAGCAATACCCTGAAGGTAAAGCAGTGCAGATAAATAAGYAAAAGCCTGTTTCAAAGAGATTAAGCTTAAAAATAATACCAACCACCCCTTCTAAGAAGTTTCTAAAATGGAAGCTATACAACTAAGAATTTTAAAGTGAGGCAGATTGAAAAAACAAAAGCAGACTTCTTCCACTAAAGCTCTCTCAGCAATTCCAGGATTTTTGTAAGCAATCTTGGGCTTGCAGGGTTTGTCAGCAGTTCAATGTGTTTATTGCTGGGTATCAGCACTCAGCTGCTGAGGTGAATGAGTCCACATCTACCTCTTTTCATTCTCTTCTAGGAAAGCTTCTGTTTAGCTGCCAGGTCACTTTAGGTTGCTTTCTTGTCAGTCATCAGGGCTAAAGCTTCACAGTAACCTCACTTCTGATTACTGCAGGAAGGGATAACTGGAGAAGCTGCAGGATGAGATTATGGAGATGCGTAAAGAAGGTGTTCCACACAGTGCTCACAGGTCATGAGCAAGATCTTAGCCATCTAGAAATAAAAACTGTCCAAAATCAGTACATAAAACACAGAACATGAGTTCACTGCTGAGCTGGCCTGGTCCTAATAAACAGCTTATCAAAATCTGGATAAGCCGAACCTTTCAGCTCAACACAACAGAGAGATCAGTGAGTGCGGGATTTCAATTATCAAGACTAGATATTAAAATAAAATATAATCCGCAAGACAAACCCCTTTTTGCCCCTCTGTCGGACCGCCACTCCTCTGCCCCTTTCCTGGGAATGTGTCTCTACCTGCTCCGACACCCATGCCGCCGGCGCTGACCTCCTTCCCACGGAAAAACGAACGCGACTCCTTTGGCACCTGTTAATTCTTAATGTTATCTAATGCTTCACATTCTTAAACGTGGCCGGGAGAGGCCGCAGCGCGCCCCTGGCAGCGAAACACCCCTGAGAGAGCGTGTCCCCAGTGTACACGGAGTTATTTATAAACCATACGCAGGCACTGCTGTATTGACACGTGGCGTGCGTGATAAAGCACACGCAAAATACAACCACAAGAAGGATGATAAGGAGATGAAATGAGGACTACTTCCTGAGGGGTTCCCACAGCCCCGTACCCCGCTCCCGGCGCTTCAGGGGCCGCGGGGGTCTCTGTTCCACACGCCCCTTCCCGGGCTCCTCCCGCCGCTCCCGCCTCTCCCTCCCGGCGGCGCATGCGGGAGGCGGGCGATGCTCSGACATGGCGCTGGCGGCTCCGGCGCTGCGGCGCTATCTGCTGCTGCTGGCGCAGGAGCACCTCGAGTTCCGCCTGCCGGTGAGCGCTGCGCGGGGCCGGGGCCGGGGCCGGGGTCAGGATCAGGATCAGGATCAGGGTCAGGGTCAGGGTCAGGGCCAGGGCCAGGGCCAGGGCCAGGGCCAGGGCCGGGCGGGACGCTCCCCTCCCCTCGCCTCGCCTGTCCTCCGGGGCGCTCCTGGGCAGTGCGGCCCCGGGTGTGCCCGGGTGTGCCGGACACCGGCGGGCGTCACCTCTTTCGGAGAGAGGCAGGAGCTCCTGACTCCCCTTCCCTCGTCGCTCCCGGCGTCCTGTGGGAAGAGGCCCCCGGGCGTGGGGCGCCCTTTTTTTTCCTTTTCCTGCCCCACGCTCACGTGGTGGCTTTAAGGCAGCAGTTTCCTTGCCGCTTTTCCAGAGCCTCTGGCTCTGGGAGAGGTCACCAACAGAGTACCCGGGGCTCCATGTGAGCAGTGGAAGCTAGGGTTCCAAAAATACTTTCAAGTTTTTGGCTTTGGTGACTTTTAAAGTTCATTTAAATCGTATGACTGCTGCTGGTGCTGCCCTGGGCACAACGAGGGCCCTCCTCGATGGGCTGTTCAGAGAGGTGGTGGAATCACCATCCCTGCGTGTGTTCAGGGAAAGACGGGATACATTCAGTGCCATGGTCTGCTTCACAGGCTGGTGTTCACTCATCGGTTAGACTCGATGATGCCAGAGGTCTTTTACAACCAAACTGAGTCTGTGATTCTCTCTGTTCTGGAGACGTGTGAGGCAGGGGGGTTGCAGGTAACTTGGTTTTCAGGAGGAAGATTTGGGGAGCAGCAGRGATGGGGCGTCTCTGTAGTCCTAGGGCCCGTGGTTTTACTGGATCAGAGGTCTCCAAGGCCTTGCTGGTGTCCTGTCACACCGGCGGCATTGAGGGGTAYTTGCTTTTGGCTTGTGATCCTGAGTGTTTATTTCCATGCCGTTGGTAAAGTTAACTTGTGATTATTTTTTTTCCCGTGACAACTTACAGAGGTGCTGTACACCTTAACAAGTTTTGATAGCCTAAGGGCTCTTGTAAGCATCATCTTGAGAGCTAGTAATATCCAGGATAGTATGTTGTTCAAAATAGTGCTGAAATACAGAGTAATTGTGTTAGAGTTGGTTRGTCATCATTCTGCATGTTACGAAATTTTTAGTGTGTCTTGAATCATGTGCTTTCCTWGTTTTCATTTACGTTTTCTTCTGTGCCTTGCTTTTTACTATTTGCTTTGTGGGACTGGAAGCTGAATTTGTATATTTGTGATCAACCCGATTTTTCTTTAGGCAAGGTCATCAAATGAAGTTAAAAGATGATACATATGTAACGTAGAAAGTTTTTCTTCTTATCATCACCAAGGTTTTTGGTGACATTTGATTGATAGAGCTGCTGAAGAAAGCTGAGCCATTTCCCTTTTGTAGTTTGGTGGCTGCTCAGTTTGTTTGGTTTTGTGATGAGCTGTGTTAGGGACATGATTTGTCAGAAACTTAATGAAACAAACAAGGACAGTTTTGTTAGCCAGGTGATCTGCTGATCCTGGCCCTGGGTCAGYGTTACTAGTGAAATGTCACTTTTATGTGAATTAGTCAGAAAAATATTTTACGAAGAGAATGGGTAATACTGTAAGAAAAATATCGTTGTGAGAGTGCAGGATTGAACAGTAAAGATTCTGATGAAGGAGAATATCCAAACTGGTAGGATTGGATTACTGAAATTTGCCTGACCTTTGCCACTGAATTCTGAGAAGGCTATTTTTATAGCARGAAAGTCTTAATTTTTTTCAGTTCATGAACAGTACATACAATCTGAAATTATTTGTGAACWTCTGCTCCACCCACTATCTGCATTAGAATTTGTTATGCTGACCTTTTATTTTTTTTTTCCTTTTTTATGACATTAGTTAATGATTCTAAAGCCTGACCTTTATATTTTCACTTTAGGAAATAACATCATTGCTCTCCCTTTGTGGTGGACAATTCAGTGGYGAGCAGGAAATTCGTGTAAATGTAAGTGAGCTATCAAATATTTTACTTGAGTGTATGTATGGTATGCAAGTACGTTCTTTACAGTATTTTTGGTGAATRTAGGTAGCTGAATAAATGTTGTGGTTTCTTAGGAAAATCAGGTATCTTCCCAAAAATGAGGAATTCTCAATTTCAGTAAAGACTCAGAACTGAAAAAAAGATGCACRAAATGCACCTGGGGATGTCTTCACTTACCAGCATGAAAAGAAGCAGTGCCATCTGCTGGGAGGCTCTCCTTACTTTTTAGACAAGCTAAAGCCTGAAAATACTCAATATCCGTTTGGAATTGATGTTTGCCTCTAAACCAGTGAGACAGAGGAAGAGTGCAGCTGGGAAGCTGTATGATTCTGGTCTCAGTGCTTAGTCAGAGCATGGTATTGGGATTTAGTTACTGCGTGTGTGTCATGAGGTGTTTTTAATCTTTAGAGGATGAATAGTTAAGAGTAGTGAAAAAAAAATTTTACCAAGTCAGTATTGGAAAAATTAAATTAATAACAGAATTTCTCAGACATTTAAGCTGAGTAAATGGTTTTGTCTCAATTATTTTATCCTCATGTTCTCTGTATGATTAAAGGTAACAGATTTAATTTTTATTAGCTTTTAAAATCTTCAGTATGCGTGTTCTGTTTTTATAGGACAGAATTGTGTAATTGTGTAATTCATGTGATGTGCTCCAGTTAAGTATTTRCGTCACTTACCTTCTCTTTATTTCAGTCTCCATTTTGGATTCTCAATATTCCTTCAGAAGAGATGGCAAGGGGACTAATGAAACGGACAGTTTGTGCAAAGTAAGAGATGAAAAATCTTGTAAGCAATAACGTAATCAGTGCAATTTTGTTCTGTTATATTGTGGCAAATATCAATTTTGTATAGAGTATTAAAATAAACAAGTCTCCAATTCCCTCTAGAATTGAGAAGGTGTCACTGGAGCCTGTTGGACTCCTGCAGGCCTGATTATGTAGCTATCCCTGTCTTCTTTTCTCAGTATTTGATCAATTCAGGGTCTTGAAATGGTGTTCTTCACTCTAGAGACAGTACTTGTTGTGTTACTCATGTTTTATGTGCCTTGTATAATGTTGATTATACCGTGGCTTGTTTTAAAAAACGTATGAAATTAAAAGATAAAAGCAGTGATATGTGGAAATTGACAATCATGTTTGGAAGGGAAAGTTTGTGTCACCCTCCCTTAGTGCTGGCATATGAGCCTTCAGCCCAGACTGCTGCAGCAGAGGTCCTTGTGGGAAAATCAGGAGCACAGGAATATGCCAGAGAGTGATTGTTCCAGCTGGTCCTTTTTAGAGGTGTCTGAATAATTTGCTCTCCAGTGAGGGCACATGAGAGAGACCTTGAATTATGGTTCAGGATGAGAAGCAGCAAAGGTGTGTTAAGTCTCTCTGACCATTCTAAATTTCTGGTGTCTGTGCTGTGTTCTTCAGTGCTTGGGCCCCTCTGCAGAGTGTTGCATAGTCCCTGTTGAGTGCTTATTATATCAAGTGTTGAATTTTCCCTACAATTACTTGTGCTCTACACTCTTGCCTAAGGAATGGAGCATTGCACTTCAAAAAGTAGCTGTAGGCAACTAAGGAAGTAAAAAATGACAGAACAGCTTGCAGATGTTCTGCACGCCATGCTCTCTCARCTGATGTATGCTGATTTTATGTAGAAAGCATAAATAGCCCATGGCTTATTTCTCTGGCGTACTGCTGACTGTCGGGAGATGTGATAGTTTTAGAATAGGATCACTGGAGCACCCCCATTGCACTGCCAATCAGTATGAAAAGCTCTGAAGCTTTTGGTGTATGTTACCAAAGAAAAGCATCAGTGAAATATCAGCCTAGGATTAAAAATAAACCTGTCCTTATTACAGACAAAAGTTAGATGCCACACTCGAGTAGTTCATGAAGTAAAGCATAAGTATGTAGACTAAGACGATGACGCCTAAGGATTTTTAAAACAGTAAGTATCTTAAGGCTTTTTCCCTGCTCTGTGTGACTGCACTCTCCAAAACTTTGTAATTTCAGGTCTATATTTGAACTGTGGGGCCATGGAAGATCTGCAGGRGAGCTCTATGCATCTTTGAAGAACTATCCAGTGGACAAGATGGTATGCATATGAAGAATCTGGATAATATGGTTCCTTAAGCCCACTGAATACCACTGCATCTTTACTTATGAAAGTTCTTGCCTTTTTTTTTTCAGCTTCCTTATCTACAGTCAGACTCTACTTACAAAGTACATATTCATACATTTAATAAAACACTGACCCAAGCACAGAAAATAAAAAAGATTGATGTAAGTATATGGATAAGAAATCTTTGTTTAGTTTCATCTATTCATGTTGTTCTTATTCCATGCTGTCAGTGTATTTCAATTTGGGTTTCTTGAAGATCTTAAGGAAGTTTTTTGGCTTATTTCTTACCTGGTCTGAATGAGATCTTTGTGTCTGAATTTACATTCCCTCAAAATTCTTTACTTTTTTTTTTTCCTCTAAACCAGCCATGTAAGGCATCTACAAAAACAAACAAATATCAGTGCTGATTTCAGCTCGGTGTGCTGGGAAACTGAAGCTTATGGCTCAAAACTATAAGATTCAAGTGACTAAAGTTAGGTGCTAAATTTTTGGAGAATTTGTTACTTGATCTCCTTATTAGGCTTTTATTGTTGCAAAATGTGGAACAATTGTCTTCAGCWGCAAGCTATGGATTGTGTGCAGATCTCTTGTTTTGTCGTCTGCACTCGTGCTCTCCTCCTAACTATACCAGTATTTTAATTAAATTTTTTTTTTCAAAATTACTGTTTATTTCTACTCTTCCACATTCTATTTTGGCAGCTGTTTATTCAATTTACTTCATTTACAGGGACTGAAATTATCTGTATTAGTAGTAGCTGTTCTTCCCTGTTCAGTTTTTGTGTATGTGAAATAAWGCTGAGTATGTAAATTGTAGCTGCACATCACTGAAATTTCACATCCCATTGTTCATCATCAGTGTTGTTTTTATAAATTGAAAATTGGATAGTTAGTGTACACATTTAATGTCCTCTGAAGTTAATAAAAAGTGTTACGGTTCCTGATTTCTAATCCTTGATAATTAGAACTATTTTTSTTTACAAGAAAGGCATTTCAAAACTCCAGAGAAAATTGAATGTACTTTTTAATGCTAATATACCATTTCTCACAAGTGAAGTGGTTTGTTTTTTGCTGGTTTTTTGGTTGGTTTGTTTGGTTTTTTTTTCTTGAGGAGGCAGGTACCCATTTAAAAAAAATTGACCTTGGTTTTTATTTTTTTATTCTTTTTCTTCATTGTATAGGCCCTTGAATTTCTGCCATTCAAAGGAAAAGTAAATTTAAAGAATCCACAACAYATCTTTTGGATTTTGGAAGATTATGGAATGAACCCAAATGATGTTCCAGAAGAGCCCAATCATCTGTATTTTGGTAGATGGGTGCGTGAGTATGCTTGCCTCAGTTCTTATAAGTTTGTATTTTCGGGAGAGTATTTATTCAGTTTGAATGTAAAAAATGTTCTGACTTTTAACAGAAACAGAAAATACAGTTGTCTGCATCTGTAATTGCATAATACTCTGATGCAAGTCTTGGAAGTCCTTACTGTGACTAGAAAAAGTGGCTTTACTGACCAATTTAGAGTTGGAAAAAAGTGAAATTGTATCTGGGAATGCACCTTATCTTGCCATCCAGTGAGAGAGCTCAGCACAATGAGACTGTGCAGCTGTGGTGGTGTGTTGTATTATTGTGGGTGCAGCTGAAARCACCAGCAGTGTGTTTCAAACACAGAAAGATTTACAGAACTGTAGGTGGCCTGTGGCCCTGTGGAGTGGCATTCTGTAAGTGCTTCAGGTGATCCTGACAGGCACCTCCATGGAAAGGTGCAGACTGATCCCTGAGGCTGTGGAAATCAGTGAGTCCAGCCCAAAGCCCAAAGGAACACCAACTGTGCAGTAGGAACCAAGTACAAATACTGGATCCTGTCGTCTGTGGTCTTTATTACTACTGTTCTTGCCTTTTGGCCATATGCACTCTAAGCCTGCTGCATTATTAGGGTATCCTGAGGAAGTTTCATCTGGTCTTTCAGGCTTTTTTGAGGAAAAAGGGGCTTCTCAAAAGGGTATCTCCCAGAATGACACTTAACACTGATGGTAATATGTGCTTGCAATGTCCTGGGACCTGGAAGGAGGGAGAGACAGAGATTGTAATATGGTTAGTGACTTGTGTATAGGGAAGTTAGAGATTCAGGTGATCTGTTAGGGCCRGTGAATGTTCTCCATGCCTATGATTAATGTGCAAGCACCCTGGGTTGAGGCAATGCTGCAAAATATTGCAGCTGTTATCCCATCTGTGCTGAATTCCTGAAGTGTTTAAAAATGATAAGCCAACCTGAAAAAAATAGGCAAGTGTATTTTGTTTACCCTGTAAGATTGATGCTGATCAGAGATGGGGGTTATAGTGTTGGATAGTGTTTGAATGTGTTTTGTTCTGCATTGCTTTGGTTTTCTCCAGCATACTTTGGAAGTSTGATGTAAAAACATTAGCATTTGGTCTTTATTTACTTTTCCCTTAAATTCTGATCTGCCAACACTATCCTAAATTTAGATTTTGAGTGGGACCGAAATGCCAGTGAAGAAAGAWGTTCTGTATGACCTTAAGCATGAGTGTGTGTGTGCACACGTGTTAACATGCATTTCTAATCCTCATATTTTTKAAATCCTTTCAACTCTGAATTGCCAGGAATTGTTGTTCTGATACTTAGAATAATAGCGAAGTTACTCTAATTGTAGTTTCTTTGAAAGAATTTTCCCTCTAAACTGTTTGTATGTTTTTAACCTCTGTCTTGAAGAATTTACCTAGGTGTTGAACCAAGATATCTGTTGCTTGGAAAGAAGTCTGTCATATTTTCAGACGTCAGAAAGCAAGGTGATGTGCTATGAAGTTACCTGGTTTTGGATGGTGTCACTTAAGCAAGTCTGTTGGCCTGTCTGTTTATATCTTGTATCCAGGACCTGACAGGGTTTTTAAATGTTTCAACAGATTGCAGATGGCCAAAGAGAGCTCATCGAATCCTACAGTGTAAAGAAGAGACACTTTATTGGAAATACAAGCATGGATGCCTGCYTGTCTTTCATCATGGCAAACCATGGGAGAGTAAAGCCAAATGATATTGTATATGATCCATTTGTTGGAACAGGTATATTTTTTTTSTCAACTGGTGGGAAAAACTGGAAGATTGTGTTAGTACTTGCTCCACTCTTCTACCTGGTGCCGTGGCTTCTGGTGCTCAACTGGTATTTGAGAYGATACCAAAGGCAAAATGGTGTTTATAAAATGAGTGGTTTGTTAACCTGAATAGGATTTTGCGGGAAGGAAACCAACTTCCAAATACATAAATAGTTTATTTTGCACTCAATCCATGTATCGTGGACTGCTTAAGATCAAAGTGTCCATGAAYTGGAATTTGGCTAAAGCACTTCCTGCAGTCACTTTCAGGATATTACRAAGAGCAGCGTTTTAGCACCGGCTCTTTAGAGGAATGCTGAGGGCACTTCTGGTCATACAACACAGCAGCAATAGTGAGGTCATAGCATTCAGTGAGGAACACTGTTGTGGCATTACAGCCTGTCTTCAGGATAATATTGCTCGCACAAGGTATTACTTCCTCAGCTGAGCTCTTCTGACCTTAGCCAGRAGGGGGAGCTTTTATTCCACGTACTACTGTGCATGGCATAGAAATACTTTTTGCCTCAGGAAAACTCAGCTGTATGTGAAATAGCTGATCTATTGTGTCAGGTTATATGCTCAGGTATATAATTATACCAGAGTATATTGTGTTAAGCTACATATAGTAGGTTTCTCAAAAATATAACAAAGGCTGTGTTCTGACCTGGATTTTAGAATCTTAGAGTACAATCATAGAGCATCCTGAATTTGAAAGGACCCACGAGGATCATCAGAGTCCAGCTCCTGGCCCTGCACAGGACAACCCCAAGAGTTAGACCATTGTTTCTTGAACTCTGTCAGGCTGGTGCTATGACCACTTCCCTGGGGAGCCCTCTCCAGTGCTCAGCCACCCTCTGGGTTAAGACCCTTTTCCTGATAACCCAGCCTAAACCTCCCCTGACACAGATTCAGGCCATTCCCTCGGGTCCTGTCTCTGGTCACCACGGAGAAGAGATCAGTGCCTGCCCCTCCTCTTCCCCTCAGAAGAAGGTTGCAGACTGCAGTGGGATATCGCATCAGTGTCTCGTTCTCCAGGCTGAACAGACCAAGTGACCTCAGCCACTCCTCATATGGCTTCCCCTCAAGGCCCTTCATCATCCTCATTGCCCTCCTTGGATCCTTTCTAATAATTTAATTTCTTTTTTTATATTGTGGCCCCCAAAACTGCCCCCAGCACTTAAGATGAGGCCACCCCAGTGCGGAACAGAGCAGGACAATCTCGTCCCTTGCCCGGCTGCCGATGCTGTGCCTGATGCACCCCAGGACAAGGTTGGCCCTCCTGGCTGCCAGGRCACTGCTGGCTCATGTTCAACTTGCTGAACTTTATTCAAGATGACCACATGTGAGATGCATCGATTTTAAAATACTTGCATTGATGGGAAGTTGAAGTTAATTGTCTGCAGAGGTCACTGTAGAGAAGTTAAGGAGAGAGAAGACAATACTAGTAAGGTCACTAGTAGAATAAATTCTTACTAGCATGTGCCATAGAAAATTGACATATAACATTATACAGAAGGGTTTGGTGAACTCTTTTTTTATCTTACATTTTTGTTCATATATGATATGATTTTTTTTTGCATAATATCTTATGAAATTATCTCTTCTTCCTTGTGCTTGTCCTTTGAAAGGTTCAGGAAATTCTGCTAMTTACCTCTTTCAGCATTTGGCACCTATGGCTTTTTGTCTAAGTATRAATTCTGCTAACTTAAATTATGAAAAAGAATCTCTGAGAGTGTTTTTTCTCTTGGGAGCGAAATTGAGGAAAAATAGGAAGGATAAAGACAGAAGAAAAAGAATCACATATGAATGGTTAAGCTCTAGAAATTCAAGATAAATGTTGTGTTTCAGTTCAAAAAGTTACATATACAAAATTCTCCTAAATTATCTAGTGGTTTGAATTACAATTTAAAAAAAATGTTTGGCTCTAGATATTTGTGATATAAAGSCTAGAGATTAAAGAGGACACTGGAGATACTGGGCGGCATGTCATTTGTCAACATATATTGTCAATATTTATGAGTAAATAAGAGTGTTTTTTTCATTTCTGTTGAGTAAACCTCAGGAATTTCAGTTGTCTCTTGAGGACCTTTAGAAGATTTTCAAGATTGTCAGTACAACACTGCCCTGTCACTGGTGTTTCTGGGAAGTAGTCTGGAGTTTAGAGTGATGCAGTGATTTTGAGCTGATGGGTTTGAAAAAATATATTCAGGATCTGGGGAGCATTTTGAAGAACTGCACTTCAGATTTCTTTATTGGTGCAGCTTTGTTACCTGGCTGGGTTTCTGCCTGATTTTTTACATTGGAAAGGTAAATAGTACCAAATCAGAATGGCCTTGCAAAGTGCTTCTTGCTTGTTGGAAACAAACTATTTTTTGCTGCGTATGCCAAATCGCAAGTCTTTCACATTAGTGTAAGAGTGGACAATTGGCATTTGTCCTTGGAATATAAAGTGCTCTTTGACCAGGCTGACTTTTAGGAGACTTGATTTTCCATTTTATTGTAGAGCAGAGCTGGAACGGCCAAGATTGTGTTTCTATAAACTGTTTTAGATACTCTTTCCTCAGTGTTGGGAGGAAGGAAACCTGGAAGCTTCTGAAAARATAAATCAAGTCTTTCACCTGAATGTTTTATGTTTCATCCTGGATAGTTGGTTCAGTTTATCTCAGTAATTTTGTTGATGGTTCCTTTGGAAGATACTTGTGGTACTGCATAGTTGAAAAATGACAGGATATTTTTCTTTGACATCCTGGAGGGACCAGACCTCATCTGTGCTGAAGAGGTGAAGGAATAGTGTATATAGAAAGGCATGAAGTTTGGTGCCACCATGAAGCTGCTAAAAGTCACCAGGGWCAGCGTGATTCCCTGATTAATCCTTTTTATGCATCTGTTGCATATAATAGATCCAAAAGGCTGGCCGTATAAGAGTATTAAAGTATTCATGCCCCTTCTGTGTGAGCACAATTGAACAAGTACAAGCTGAGATTTATTAAATCTGTAAGTTTGTGATTTCCAAGCTTYTTTTTTTTTTTTTTTTTTTTTTTTTTGCCTGTGATTAAAAATATTCTTAGATGGGCAAAGGATTTTTTTTCTTACTCTTTTTATAGGACTGGGTGGTATGCCTTACTTGGGGTCAGGGCTAGCTAAATTTGTCTTGACCCTCTGGATGTACTGCCCATCTGTTCTGAGGGATTGCAGCCAAGAAGGGAAATGGGTGATTCCTTTGGGGTGAGTAACCTTACTTTTCCCTGATCCGTTTCACTAGAAAAAGCAGAGGCATTTTAAAGGTTTCTTTTTTCTCACTCACCTTTGGTTTTGGTAGAGTTTGTTACCATATGGTGTAGAAGTTACCTGGTGCACACAGGGCACATTAGAGTTTGTTGGTGCTGCATGGGTGGCTCAGGGCAGTGCAGCCAGCTTGTACATTGTCAGCCCTACATCCTGCACCAGTCATCCCCTTTGTTTAGTGGGACTGTTGACATCAGTGGGGCTCACAGCCTTGTCCTCAGTTGCTGTTCTGTTCTAAACCATTCTGGTAGCTACAGACCTCTTTGTTAATAACTTGGGCACACAGGTATCTGGTCATCTTCTGAAGTCTGTCCATTGCTTCATTTGGAAGCTCATAAGAGATAATGTCATTTATTCTTTTCTGTTCAGCTATTGTCATTTTCAAGAGGAAATCACATGGTTTTTTGGTAGGGTTTTTTTTTTTAATTAGGAAGGTGGGTCACAATAGCAGCGATTAGCAGTCACAATTAAAAAAAACTGGTTTTATTACAGAATAAGTACACTGGTAAAACTGACAAAACAGGCAGCATACTCAGAGATGAATGCATTTATATGTAGTTTTCACACTTCAATTACAGAAACTTTTTTAATATTTGTGTTTACACTGCGGGTATTTACAATTGTGAGGCTCTTGACCATTATTTCTTACAATATGGGAATAGCCACCTTATACAAGTTTGATTTTTACACAGTTAAAAGCAACAGGCTTTGAGAACAGACACAGTAGAACTGCCATTTGTTTGGTGACAATTTTTCAAATTGTGTGACAACAATTTGAAATTCTGCTCCTTGCAAAGTAGAATCAAAAGTTYTGGTTCATGTGATGCTAAAGGATCTTGCTGCTTTAAAAAMCAGAAAACCRTAAACAAAACTCCTGAACAGTCTCCAGAGATAAGGAGTGACAAAGGACATATCAAGATAAGGAAAACCATGTGTAGCAGACAAAGAACTTAGTGTTACTATTTCTGATTTTAATTACATAGTGATTCTAACTGGTTGATAGTTTTACTTCTTTTTTTAGTGTTTTTGTTTTTTTTTTCCTTGGGTCTAGTGTGCTACTGGTATAGACTCCTGAAATTCCTGAGGAAAAAATCCTAACACAGGTAACATTTAGGACAGAAGTTTATACTTTTCTCTTTTCTCCCATGTATAGGTGGCCTTCTAATCTCCTCAGCACATTTYGGAGCATATGTGTGTGGTACTGATATAGATTACAACACAATCCATGGATTAGGTATGTTATGTATTTCWAAGCCACTGAAATCTTGCTCTTTGGAATTTAAGAGTACTGATGTTAGCAGATGATACTTAGYGGATTTTAAGGCAATGTTAATCTTCACAGGATTTATTTGGTCATGCATATTTTTATTCACCACTTTATATGTATGCTAGTTAAGATATTGTCTTACTTTTAAGCAGGAAATATTTTTTAAAAAGAACACTGGAAACCAAAACAAAGTTCCAAATAATAAGTACCACAGCTGTGTGCTCTTTTAGCCTGTGATGTGGGAATTTCCTCATAACGTAACCCAGGAACTCTTATTTTCATTCTTACTTCCCTGAAAATACACAAATTATATTTGACGTAGTGGACAGGGTTGTGAGTGCTGGATGGAGAGAGCATCTTGCAAACTAACCTTTTTGTAAATGTGTTCTTTGACACCCTATGCAGCAGATAAATGCAGCTGAACTTTGCTCACGTATTTTTGTTTTTCCTTACTACTTGTGAAATTTATTGCAATTACTTTTGACAGGTTTTTTTTGTGACATTTAATTATTTTCCATGAATTTAAATGGTAGAGTATATGAAAAGTTTTTCTTCCAGAATAGTTTCTTGTTGAGTATGCTTTTTTACCTATTCTATTCCCCTTCCCCTCCCAGGCAAGGCAAGCAGAAAGAACCAGAAATGGAGAGGGCCAGATGAAAATATCAGAGCTAATCTCCGACAGTATGGTTTAGAGAAATACTACCTCGATGCACTTGTTGCTGATTCTTCAAGACCAATATGGAGAAAAGGGATGTTGTTCGATGCAATCATTACAGACCGTAAGTTTGTTCCTGCCTATTGTTGCCCAATAACAGTGACTAAAACATTATTGCCTATGTCCATTGATTAAATGTCTGGATGAGTGGAAACTGGTTTGCAGTTTCCATGTTTCCAGAGGTGATTCTTGGGAGCAGCATTATTGAAATTGRATCTGCATTTGATGTCCCTGCATTTATTTGAAGGATAGTTATAAGTGTGTAACAAAACTGGCAATGACGCTTCTYTTCATGGAGAGAATGTTATGTTCCRCAGCARAAATCAATATGGCTGAAAATCATCCTTTGAAGARGTCTCCTTCAGCAAAAGCTAACATGATTGATGCACAGAGACTTCTTACCAGAATGGTTGATTGTGCTCTTGGCAGCACCTTGGAGTCTGCCATGCATCTCTGATGGACTGCTGGAGACTTACGTTGAGTGCTTATTGTAGTGCTTCCAAAGAGAAATTTTAATGTGTTTCCAATATACTTAACTAATGGAATCAGGAGCAGTCTGAAAGAATCCTCTGCTCTTTTAGGAACCTATGTGCTAAACMCTATTTGTCTTATATGAGARGGAAAAGGAATCAAGGGAATAAATKAAAGATCTTGATACAGCAATTTSTGATCTCAGGTGCTGGCTTTTAAAATGACACATTCATATTAGTTAGGAATAGGGAGTGTGACTTTTCTTTGTGGATTGCTTAGTAATTTTTTTTTGTCTGGCAACAAGACAGTGTAGAGTATTAATATRGACTTAGAACTGAGTGGGACACAATTTGTAGAACTTCTGTGGTGTTTACATTGATGCTTCCATGATGCTGAAACAAGTCTCTCAAACTCAGATGTTTTGAACATGAAATAAGTATGTTRTGCTACTAGAAATGTGCAAAACAATGTATGAGAAAAAGCAGTCTTTGGTTCTTATGTGTGAGAATTACCATTTGTGTAATGCRCTGACAAGAAATTCCAATGTATTTCATTTCATTTTGAAAAAGGTTAGTTAAGTGCTATGGGGCTCATATTTGTGTCCAAATAAAAAAGATGGGGTTATTTATKACCTGTTGAAAAGTTAAATAACATCTTTTAACAAGCAAAATAGGAAGGCATTGTCTTACGTGTGGTGTAGAACATATAGGTTGGTAGAAGCTCTTACAGCTGAAGGGCTTTCTTTGAAACAGTTTTAAAATAACTTTTTGGAGCAGGAAACTTTCAATAGATATTGAAGAAACTTCCCTGCARACTTTTACTTTATAAAAGCTTTCATTTTTTTTAAACTTTGTATAAGCCACAGTTTGTGCACTTTTGTGTATGTGTGGTGGAATTGTATGTTGTTTGGACAAAGGATGAGGTTCCCATCTCTGCGCTTTGCTTTTGCTTTGTCTAGCACCATATGGTATCAGAGAAGCCCCTCGCAGAATGGAATCACAAAAGGAAACAGTTAAGTCTGTTGAAAGAAGGTAGGGAAGTGTTTCATCTGTGGTAGAATATAAATGTCTTCATGGAAACTTGGTTACAGTTTTAGAAACTTTTATTACTTCTTGGTTGGCTGTCAGCAATTTAAAAAACGGTAGCAATTATAATTAAAGAAGAAAAACCCTTTTTGTTTTGTTTGCAAAACCAGTATGTCACTTCCTGGAATCTTCTTGGTGTTGTTCTCCCTCCTTATCTTTTGCATGTGTTCAGATTTTCAATCCTRTTTTTCAACTCTGTGAGCCACGATTACCTTGTATTTCTTGTTCTCAGAAATTTGTTTTTAATTCCTGCAGGCTGCAAAATCAGTCTAAAATGGAATACTTGGAGTTGTACATTAACTTTTTTCTTTTGCATTTTCCACTGCTCCTTTCTCTTCAGAGATTGCACATCACTCTTCCACTACCTGGCCTTCCTTGCTTTCTGACTTTTACTCTAATTCCTTTAGAAAGATGCTGTGCAAAATAACTATTGCAAACATACCTGTGGTTCTTTAAACTCATCTTTAATACGTGTGGAAGTCAAGGAGACAGTTAGGGGGGAACTTGAGAAGTCATGTTGCTCACGGTAGAAGTTGTACTCCTGGATTATCCCAGCTAGTTTTGCAAAGCTCAGATAGTGCTTTTGAGGTTTAGTGTATCAAGTTTTTATTATTATTATTATTATTATTATTATTATTATTATTATTATTATTATTATTATTATTATTATTATTATTACTACTACTACTACTATTATTATTATCATCATCATTATTATCATATTTATTAATTAATTAAAATATCAGGTTTTACCTGTGCTCTTGTGTTTGTTTACCCTTGTACATCTTTTGTTTAGCACAGAAAATCACTTCTTCGTTCCATCCAGTTATCATCTAAGTGACATCTTTTTTGACCTCTTGAAGTTTGCAGCAGAGTGTCTGGTGATGGGAGGAAGATTGGTTTACTGGCTGCCCATATACAGGCCTGAGTATGTACTGTTGATTTCTGCTGTGTTGTGTCAGAATGGATACTGCATTCTCACTGTGCTTTCCTTTGGAAGCTGGAGCTTCCACAGTACCAGCGCTTAAGAGTAATGCCCAGAATTTGTATTTTAAAATTTTGTATGAGGGAGAACAGATTTTGAACAAAACTTTTGAATGGAGGTAATTCCTGACTGTTATCAAACAGAAAATACATTTACATATAATTGCAAATGCATATCCAGTGGGTTGAGGTTTAAGCTTAGACAGTTAAGCTTTCAAGGTGCAAATATATTTCTAAGGCAGTAGGAGCAAGGCTGGTATTAGTGTATATTTCTGCTAGAGTAGTTGATAGAGATGTGTGACAAGATGCTGTAAAGAACATCCTTGGTTCTTTGGGTTTTAGCACTACTAATTTAGCTCTCTTCTGAGAAATAAAAGTCAAATGACCGAGAGATGGCAGTAAGAGKCAGGAAGCATCCGGGAGCAGCCCTSTTARGGACGAGAGAGGCCAGCAGAGACTGCGGGATCCAGTCTGCTCGGTAGTGCTGCCTGGGGTCAGAACTGAGTTTGTAAGGAAAAACAGCTGTTTGTATGCCTGAGTTCAGCATCTCTTAGATTAGGATTGAGGGTTTTTTTATTTTGTTTTTGTAAAAATTTTTCACTCTAAAGTGAGGAGTTGATGTACAGTAGTGGTTTCAAGGTGTCTTCCAGATAYACATGTGCTCTGAAGGTAGTTTCTACAGTGTGATGTATTTCTGTGTRCAGTCATACTATGCTGATATATATTCCCTGGTTTCACCATAGAAATGGCTTGTAATAGCYATATGYTATTTTGAAAATTTGGAAATCAAAAGTAGCCATTTCTRTTGCATGCTTCTGTAACAGGAGAGTGTACTTAGTAGTTTGCATTTTTTAGTAAATGATAGAGTTGGTATCATAGGCCTTTTTTCTTGTAAGACAATTCACAGACAAAGTAATGAATGCCACTCATAGTATTATAGCTAATTTTCATGTCAATAAAATCTGTTTGGGATTACTGAATTTACTCTGTTTGTCAAGATATAAGAGTTTTTCTGTCTGCTCATTGAACTTTGGTAAAAGCATKCTTCCTCACTACAGCCGTGTAAAGTGTTTCACTTCAGATAACTTGGTGCTGCACATTAGGGATCAACTTTAGCTGCTGTTTTGGGGAGGTCTGTTTGAAGTGAATTTGTACATCCAAGTACGAATTGAAACACTAAAGTTGCTAGAATTAGCATGGAATATTAGGATAGTCACTGTATTTTCAGCTGTAATAATGAACATGTGGACATTGAAAAAAGTAAGTGGTGTGAAAAAATAGTCCTTGGCAACACCCGCCTTCAGTTTCATTTTTTGAGATCTTTGTATGTTACCCTTAAATTAAAACTGAAACTGTATTGAATTGGATGAYTGTTAAAACCACTGTTTCTGTATTTCTTACTTGTTTCTGAGTTTTACCTAAAAAAATGTATAAATAGATGCTTTAATGCTAGCAGAAAAGGCTTTTTAACAAAGTGATAATGATCTCTCCCTCTACAAGATAGCATCTCACTCCGAAGTTTACTCTTTCAATTTGACATTGAAATCATTGTTAAGTCCAAATTCTTCTAATTCCATTACAGCCTTCTGTATGATTATGGAGAGAGACTTCTAAAATATAATGGCAGAACTCCTACCTTTGTAAGAGAAAGAGACAATTTGGTGGTACTGGATGCATCAAAACTCTCRTGTAATAGAAAAAGCACTTGAGAATTAATCACCTTTGTCAAAAGTGTGTTCTGACTTTACCTAGTAGAAGCAGATACTTGTTTCTACACAAGAAGYGACTGAGAGATAGTTTTGTGGTCTTGAAATTTTGGAGCAAAGCAAAGAGGCAGTACTGTTTGAGATTTTTCTTATTTGCAGATCTGTATTTGGTATTGAGTTACTTCTTTAACAGCTCATTGTTATTTTAAGAAATGCCAAGTTTTCCACCAGCACCTAGATGGATCCTATTTTAAGCTGTTACATTTGACTTTTTCCCATAGCAACAGCTTTACTTTCATTCAGAAAAACCACCTCTTTTCAGGAGAAATGTAAATCTCCTCCCTTGTACCTTTTAAATTCAAGTCATAGGTGTTTAGTTCGACATTTCAGTGTCTGACTTCGGCTGACCCCCAAGCATTGGAGAATCTAGCAGCAGGCATTTGGTACAAAATTATAGTCCCTAACAGTGCCAGAACCCATTTTCTTTGTATTGTTTTAGTAACTATCACATGAAAGCTAATTACATAATCTACGAATAAATGACTAATACATGTTTCAGTTTATAGGAAGGATATGTCATGTCATATTTATCATACTAGCTAGGTCAATACTTCTTGCTGCTGTAGTTCCATGCAAATCTCTTAAAACTTTAAATTTCTCTTTCAGCATTAGGAGAAATAGAAGGATTTAAAGCAATTTAGAAAAAACACTTTTATTTRGAAAATAGTACGCTTATGAAGGGGAACATTTAAAACACTGTAACTCTTGCTTCTGTAGATAGTAGCAGTRTTGGCTTATAATTATATCCTATCTGATGTTAAATGATAGTGGGGTTTCTTTTCTTGGCATAAGAAAAAGTAATTACAATGAGATAAATTTGTAACACCAAGTTTTGAAGTTCAGGAATGTCACTGTCTCATAGGAGCTGGCTTAGTAAGATTTGAAATTGAAATGTAATRATCTCCTTTTGAGGAGCCAGAGTAAAGTCTCTTATTACTGCAACTTCATATATGTTAACTGTGGAATATATTTTTAAAATCACAGCTCCAGCTGGGTAAGTTATTATTCCTGGTTGGCTGAGATATTTTCTCCTTGAAATTATACGGGCAGGCCCATGTGTGCCTACATTAACATCATTTAAATACATGTGGAAAATGTGGGGGGCACTGTCTCTTKACTGTGAGGTTTCAATTTATTCTACACATTGCATGTCACAAAATGATTGGAATATGTSATGTCAAAACTCTGGAGCACCAATATCTGAATTTATTTAATCAGGCTAAAGTGCATAACAACTTTCTCCTGTGAGCCTTTTTGTGARGAGTCTGTAAGAATTTTGTTTCAGWTGCAAATCTTCCACTTCATGGGCTTACAGCACTATGAATGTTTATTTCTTCCAGATAYACAGAAGAGATCATTCCCCGCCATCCGTGCCTGAAACTTATTAGCAACTGCGAGCAGATGCTTTCCAGCCACACATCAAGGCGCCTCATAACYATGGAAAAGGTGAAAGAATTCAAGGTAAGCTTGAATTCTTGATTATATTGTATAAAATAGTAACTGTTGTGTTCGTGATTAGTTTGTGCTATTCAGCATTTGATCCTTGTTTTCTGTCACATTTTGGTTTTTATGATCAGAGTTAGAGCTTTTGTAAAATTGAGTAGTGATTTAAGGGATGGTTCTGGTTTTGGTTTCTTCCTTTTTATTCTTAGGTTTTGGTAAACTCTTCATCCCTAAAAAGCCCCTTGACAGTGTGAAAAAGATCTTTGATCTTACAGTTATTTGTGAATCCCATCCACAGAGTTTTTGCCACAATGGCTAAGTTTCTATTGATTTCAAAGTRTATCTCGATGCCCAAGTAAATACTAAATGTCTTTGTGGGTCTTGCAGTACAGGTAAACCTTACTTAATTTTATTACTTCATTTTTAGAGTGGTACWTTTTAGCTTTTGAAATAATACTGAAGTTTTGACAAATACAGCAAGGCACACTGGCTCTTTTTTTCCATTTAATTGTTTTGTGACACAGTAAATGCCTCTCCTGAGGCATTGGGACCAAGGAATATTGCRTTCAGGTCTCCTTTCCATTCTTGCTACTTCTCTCACTTGATACTATTAGAAGAGATGCTAAACAAATGTGAGGCAAATTCTTAATGAAAACACATTCAGTGAGCAAGTGTTTAGTACATTCCTTGTCAGCTGGAAGAGCTGTTTCAGATGACAGGAGATGCAGACTGCTGTGTCTGTGTGGTGCTTGCACTAATGACACAGCAGGGTTTCAGTGCTGTGTTCATAATGCTTGTGATTACTGCAGTTTTCAAGCAACACCTGAACTTTTATAAACAGACTGTGTGGAGTTCAGCCTCGCAGCTGCCAACTTCACCAGTAGCAAACCAGTAGAGTAGACTATGAGAGTTTTTGACATTGTGTCTCAGGGTGTTCAGGGAGGTTTGCAGCAGCAGTTTTATTGCTACCAGTGATGTAGGGTAACATATTTTAATGTAAGAAATATATCCACCCTTCTGCAAATAGATCGTTGTCATTTCTTGCTCTCCTTTTGTGCATCACCTGTTCTTCAGTACATGGTTTGACAGGTTCATGTCTGGAAATGCTTAGCTCTGAGCACCTGAGACTAGYTGGCAGGCTTGCTGCTTAGATAAGACTGTGCAAGTGCTTACATTCAGGATTCCAGATGTCTGTTAGATAGTTTAAAGATATCAGAACCTATGTACAGTTTCTGATGATGCAAAATTTCTCTAAAGAACAGAATATATGTTGAGTCCTTAACTACTGCCTGCTTGGTTTAGGGCCTTCTTTTGGTGTCTAAGATTTCCCCACCTCAGTATCCCTTGCCTGGAACATGTTTTTTCCTGTCTTAATATCCTGAGCAACCTTTGAATTGGATACTTCTGACTCACCAGATAKGATCATAAAATTCAATGGTTTCAGTTTTCTCTGCTTTTCTTTTTCCTAARTGAAAGAGTGAATTTTTATGAATATGCCAAACATTTTTATGTTTCCAGACAGTTCCTGTCTGCTTTACTAACTTGGTTTGTAACAGGCCCTCGGTTGCCTTTTAATTCAGCTTGATGCAGTGCTTGCAAGTGGCTGAAAAATGTTACAAATCATGTTACTGTCATTATGCAGTTCTTCRGTTTCTCCAGTGTTTGCCACCAATAAGGAATTGCAGATTTCATAGCAGATTTTGATTTCACTGTTAACACTTTATTAAAACTTTGAACTGGAGATTAATTCAGTCAGTTGCTGAAATTGTTGGTGCAATTTGGTTGGCATTGTTTGTAATAAAAAGGAGACCAAACTGAAGGCAAAAAGTGGGTTATGTCCAGGTGAAGTRTTGATCTATCATAAGAAATCATAAGCATGAAGATCAAATGTTGAATTAAAAACCTCACAAAAGTGGTATATAACTCACTGTCTGGTAAGCATCTAGTATGTTCTTTTTTAAGTTTACAAGGAAATTGTGCCAACTGGAAAAGGTTTCTTTCTGAACTCAGTGTTGATATGARAAGGTTTTATCTGCATGTGTACAATATGAGCAGAGCAGTTGTTTGGTTTTTAACATTTAAGGTTGTAGGGTTTTTTTTTTTTAATTACCATTATAGACAACTTTTGCCACTGTTCCTCCCAGCACAGCATTCACCCCAAAATGCACACCCACCTCTTGCCTCCCCCACAGCACTTCTGCACACTGTCCCCTCAAAACCCAGGGTGGACAGGGCAGGGGGAAATGCAGCCTMAGCCCAGAGCCATATGTTCCTCCGTCCCTGTAAGGCATCCCACTTCTTTAATGCCAAGAGAGATGCCTAGAAAWTATATGGTAAAATGAAACAGAGAACTTGACTGAAGGACAAACTGAGCATATGATTGCCCAGGAAGTGACTATGAAGCATCAGGCACACAAACCCACCCTGCTGAATGGGTCAAAGCATTTTATGTCACATGGTCACTCYAGAGCTGTTACTGGTGTTGAATTTTTCCTACTGTATTTAGCAGTGTCTGTTCTTGGATATATGACCCTTCTGTCCCTGATGTGGTAACTGTTCCATTTTGTTTATAGCTGTATAACGTTAGTACAAGTGGTTTCTATAGCTACTGTCCAGCACCAGATGTAGAGTGGTAGGAAGCGGTGATAAGGCTAGGAAAGTTTTTTTTAAACAAAACCTAAATGTGGGTAATTACCATGAAGCTGAACTGGGTCATGCTAGATTAATAAAAACCTTTAAAATGTTGCGTATTACTTGCCAGCATTTAAAGAAAAACAAAATTTTCTTGTTACCATGCAGCATCTCCATTATTATTTACTGGAGATTTCTACTACCTATTTTAATGTTGTCTTTAGAATAAATAACAGATTGTTTAATTAAGATTTTTTTTACCAAGTTATTTTGTCTGTAGAGTTAAATGAAGCCTATTCCAGTAGTCCAGATTGTCAGCTCCCTGRTACAAAATACTGTAAGTTAGAGTTCGTTTGAAAATCCTTAGTCTCTGAAATCCAAGACTTGCAGTTACTTTGATCAGTTCTCATGCTGTCCGTACAACTGTTTTGACTAGAAGATCTCAACTGTGAAKTTGTATCTTCAGATCAGGATTTCTTCTTTTCTTTTCATCTTTTTAAGTAGCAATTTCAATTCTGTTGGTGTTTGTTTGTTTGTTTTTAAGCAATCACCATCTTTATTAGAYAGTCATGCCCATGCAGGGGAGAGGTAGGGAATGGAACCTCCTAAACTGTTATTGTGATGTGGGCCAGGAATTTCCTTCGCAATCTCTCCTAAGAAATCGATGCCTGACTGCAGATTTTCTCTCATTTAGTGAGGGTGTTTGCAGAACTTTTGATGAGGCSTGAATTTTTGAGGTGAGATTCTGGTCTGTAGTGGTGCACCATTTCCATGTGGTGCATGCAGGTGTCCCTATTACGCCTGTGTTTTACTTAAATTTCCTTTCCACAGCACATCCTCTCTTTGCCCTAACCAGCTTGGAGGTAGAGARCAAGGTAGCTTCTTCCTTCATCCCTTCCCTCTGAACCAGCATTTTGTTTCCTATGGAATCAAGATGAATGTTGTACACRTGCATGACCTTTTAGAGGTTGTGGGGGTTAATTTTTATGTTAAAATGTCTTTGACCCATATATCATTATCTACAGGGTCAATTATGCTGCCCATTTCTCAAAATAAGTGAAATATATAGCATTCTTGTTTTGAAGCATATCCCAATGATATAAAAATACATGTTTTATCTCAAAGAAGGATTTGTGTTCTGCAAATTCAAGACAAGTGTTCTTTACCTCACAGTGGTCTGGAAAAGTGGGTACAGGCTGGCTGTGAGATGAGTATGTCKTAAATCCTTCTTGTTTCCTGCCTGTGTGTAGTAATTTTGTAATTTTGGGGTTTTTTTTCACRAACATGYTARAAGCCTCTTGGTTATCAGCCTGAGAATAMTGGAGATGGCAGTCTCCCACAGGTGACCAAAAGACGGTGTGGTACTGTGGTACTGTGCCTGCACTGGGTTTCCTGAAGTAATTTTCTTTTCCTATTTTCCAGCAGTGCAGTATTTAAGTAGAGCTGCTGCTACTGGTGAAGATGCTTTACATAATAGAGTTCCTCATGGCACTGAACATTTAGCAAGTTAATTTAAGCTGGTGTCACATCCCTGACTGTTCTGTTGAGATAGCAGGTGAGAGGTACTTCACAGTAATATCTCACTGTGTCCAGAAGAGGGCCCTTCTACATGCACACAAGTGTCTTGTTGAAAATCCTTTTCTTTCACTCACCTTTAGAATGCTTATTAAGATATCTGAAGCTAGGAGAAGTGTTGATCATGCTAGGTGAAAACCTGCAAAGGCTATGAAATAGCTGAAGGGAGAGATTGTCCACTAGGATTCTGTTCAACCTTGCACTGTAATACTTCTGTAATAGGAAAATAATGGACTAAAATCTACTTTGATGTTCTTACTAATGCTGARGCATTCCACAGTAACTTTATTTTCAGATATGAACAAATAACTGTAAACTTTTTCAAGTAATGAGCCAATGTGTTTGTTACTGCATGGGTTAAAAAAAAAAAAAAAAGAGAAGAAACACGTGGAATAGAAGCTTACTGTTGTGTTTGTTTTTATTTTCTCCTTGCACCACTGAGTTGTTCTATGTGAGGCTGCTTGTCACTGTTCCTTCCTGCTGTTGAGCATAATAATAAACTGACATCACCCAGAAGTGTAAAACTGYTTTTAGAAGTTGCCATCAGTTTTATTTAACACTCAGATTAAAGTTTGATGTAATGTTTATCTTACAGCATTGCTAAGTTAGCTGACAAGTATCTTAATTGCATAAAGCCACAGTACATGATGAACTAAACCTTTGTATATATAGTGGGCCAATTTTCTAAACTGTGTTCTTGRCTGGTGTCAAATAGGTATTATGTGTAGGGATTTACTGTGTCAACTTTAACTTTCAGAAATATATGAATGCTGCACACAAAAAAAATTTCTCTCAATGTGCTTCAATAGCTGTAGGAACTCATTTTAGCCATCTCTATTTCTCTCCTGTTTGTACCTGCCTTCCACAGGCCCCTGAGTGACTGAATTCTCCAGATGGTATTTTTTTTCTGGAAAGTAATTAATGTATTTTCCTTTGTAGGAGTCTGCGTGGCATTGGTACCTGTGCTCATTTATTCATGTAAGGGTGGGATTTTGGTGGTGTTGGCTGAGGTGATGTCAGTGTCTCAAGTGTGTGCCACTGAATTGTAAAACAAAAGCCTAGCTACCTTACCCCCTTGCACTTAATGGTTTGARCAAGTCTGGAGGTGAACCAGTGGCAATATGTGCTGAACATACTACCCTCAGATCTAACATTTGCCTTTTGATGCCATACAGGATCAARATGAGAACTCTTACTTGTTGGATGGTCAGTATTTGCCGTACAGGGGACACAATTCTTTCCGCGAGAAGTATTTCAGTGGTGTGACAAAGAGGATTGCCAAGGAAGAAAAAGACAATCAGAAGTAAAATATTATATAAACAGATTAAAAAATGAGAAAAGAATGAAGACCCGTGTTTCTTTGTAAGGACATCTGGATGTGGACATTCATTTGGATGCTTCAGAAAAATAAATACTGCTTTTAATTTTAAAACAAGATGAAACCCACAACCCAGGTTGAGAGCAGTTCTTTTTAATTAGCTTTGTTTATAGCAGATTTTATTGTACAAGTTTTTTGAGTCTTAATTTATATTTGTACTTTCAAGTACTAATGATGATTGACTAAAACCATTATTATTGTTCTTTCACCATTAACGTTTACAAAAATGTAGTAGTATTATTTGGCTTCTTAAACTGTGAACATCTGGCTGTTTTAAAAACACGTGGTGGTGATCAAGGGATTGCTGATTAAGAAGATCATTTTCATTTGTTTTGATTTTTTTGTAAATGGTGTACAATAAACCAAGGTTGGCGTGAGTTTTTTATAATTGTTGCATGCAGTAATTGCTCGTATGAATTCCACTTGCTCTGGCTGAGGTCACAAGTGCTTAAAACAAACAACAAATGCAGAGAAACAACTGGGCTCATGCACAMCCCACCAAAGGAAAAACCTCTGTGACCTGACAAACTCTGGAGGGCTTATTAAAGCCTATGAAGCCTGTCCACATCTGAAGCTCATCTGTACCTTGGATTTGCTTTTGCATTCCTAAACCTTGACKCTTGGTCAAGCCAACTGTCTGCAATTTTTGGTTCAGAAATTGATAGTTAAACCAGTAACAACAACAGCATAAAATCAGTAATAGTTCCCTAATGGTATTAAGCCTAATCAAATCTTTGAAACCTAAGCTGTATTTGTTAAAGGGCAGACTTTGCTGAATCCACACCACGTCCATCATGAAAATACCTCATTTGAAAACCACTAAGCCCATTAATTCAGGATGTTAATGGYTCTTCTCATTTTGGTGGTCAAATATGGTTACATACTCTTCAGCAGGGCCTTTGGTGAATGCATCTGTGCTCCAGCCAGAGGAACCCTGCTTCTCCGTTTGCTGCAGGTCACTGACTGTGGTCWTGTTAGAATCTTCGTAGATCATAATTTTTAAGTGCCTCTCCAGGGTCATTGTGTGTATCTGATCAAGTTMATTAACTGAATTTGCTCTTTTGTGTATTGTGGTCCTCAGCTGCAGCAGGAAAGCTTACARACTCAATGACAGCTTAGTCTGGCCTTCTGGATCTAATCTGTGGTGTGTTAAAAAGTTCTCAAATAGTGATTTATTTTCTCTGTTTCCATTATAAATCACTTTGTTTTGACACTTTTAATGTCAGCCATATAATAGTTGTTCTGGACTCAACTTGGAGCAAGATCAAAGCTCAGAAAATTTTTCAAAAGCRGAATTTGAATTGATCACTTTCAAATATTACATCAAAAACATACTCCTTCTAAAAACCTGTCTTCATTTCATTATTACAATTTAGCATTCAGCTTTTCTTACTTAACAAATTAAAATTAATTTCCRTTCTTCATAGGCAAGGAATTTTTCTAGATTTATTTATTATGCATGTATAACTCAATTTTTGTGAAAGTTTCCTTACACATGATCTATGTGATTATACAAGAGGTAAGGAAGTGGCAAATCTGGCTCTGTCTATTCAAATGAAAATTATTTTGCTTATTTCTCCTCTGCCTGGTCCAACTTCCAGTCCCTTCAGCAGTAGTGGTATGGGCCTCTGTTTAGCAGTCCGTACATACCAGCTCTGTCATTACTGAAGGATACCATTTTGAATAGAAACTGTCAGTATGTTTGGGGTACTGCATCAAATTGGCTAATCAGATATTGCTTGGAATTGAAATCAGTTGTTCAAGCTCTGCTGATCCCCAACTTTAAAGCTATCATTTGGAAACATTCCTCATTTTAGAATTTCACCTTGCTTGGTGTGCACGCCTGTCATGCATGCAGCCTTCCAGAGCACAGGCATTTATAGATCCAGAGCTGTGACGCAGTCCTGGCGCTCTCCCTAGCGCAGGGCTGCCGGGCAGCTGAGTTATCCTTTCGGCAGGGTTTGGCCATCAATGGCCGCGGCTTCTGGCACCTTCCTTCACTCTGGTTCCATTCAGTCTCTTTCCRTGAGGTTCCAGTTTTCTGTCCCTGGCCGGGAGCGTCAGTTCGTGAGCCCACACTGAACTCATGCCGTTGTCATTCTCTCCTTTGGGGTGGTTTGTGCCATATTCCAGTTTTTARAAATGAATGTTATTTTTGGAGTGCTTTGTTGTGCTGCAGCAAATTGGATGGAGGGAGGAGCTGAAAACGGCTGTGAGGTTGTATGGACAGAGGTTGTCTCTTGTTGCTGAGAGCAATTTGTTGAGGCAACAAAGGGAGAGAGCCCCCTCTTTTTACAGGATCCCTTTATCTGGTGGTGGTCCTGGCTGCAAGCCTCCCACACGTCTGTGGGAAGAGAAAGTGGAAAAGCAGTGGAAATAGATTTTCTGAGCGTTCACTGTGTGCCCTACCTGCCATCTCTCTGACACTTGTTTTAATTAGTGGCCAATTTGACCWAGTTTAACAGAAGGTCAAGGTTTGATGATGTCTTACAGATAACAGAGCTACACTTTGTTGAAATAGGCAGAGGGATTGAAGAAGAAGACAATCTCCTCCAAGGAAAGGCTGTAATAAGAGTTCAATTCTCATTAAGCATCAGAAAACCCACGTGGTAACAAAAGCAGGACAAGACCTCTAATAATTTTTTTTTGTTGTTGTTTCTGCTGCTACAGCCAGTGCTGGCCCTGCTGTTTCTCGTTATCTTCTCATTAAAACGAAGAGACACAGGTAAAAGCTTTTTCAGTAGGAACACAAGCGTCTTGGCTGAACTTCCTGCTTCTACTCAAGCTGTGAGGCAAACTCACAGAAACTCAGACTCAGTCGTTTCTCCTTGTCACTGATGAGAGGAGTCAAGCAGATGTGTCAGCTTGGTAAACTTCTCAAGGAGAGTGCAGCTCTGTCGTTGTAAACCATCCTAAGAAACTGGTATTCTTAATGGGATAACATCTGACTGGGTGTCTTCCAGTAGGGAGGCAGTCCCCCCACTGAGCATGGGCTTTCCAACAGCAACCATTAAAGGCTGGTTTTGGTGGACCCTTTATTCCTCTCTGCCTGTTCTAGAGGGCTGGAAGGCTGTTGTGGAAGTGACTGACAGTGCAGTGTCTCTTTCCATTAGACAATCACTCAGTGTTGTGACTTAACGGTGTTCATACACACCACAGCTGGCAGAAGGCAGTCAAATATTTGTGAGTTCTCCGTTACCTGTCCAAAATTACTGAAAAAAATGGTGCTAAGAAGATAAACCATGGACCTTGGGGCTGTTTTGATATTGGTTAAACATTCAAATGATGTAGGGAGGAAACACCTTAATAATTCTCAGTCTTTTCTTTCTATCTCTGCTTTTAAAGATTACTTCTTAAGTGGTTATTTCCACTGTCCCCAGGACAATTCCACAGCTTCAAGGCCGCCAGCCAGAGAAGGATATTGCTGAGATGGTGACCCTGTGACTTTGCACTGTCTTCTGGTTTCATAGGTTTTCTAGAGACAAAAATGTCCAGTTAGAGCAGGCAAGAGGGACAGGGATGATACACAGTGGTTGCAGGTTTCCCTGTTGGACAAGAAGCAGCTCTGGGGTTAGCTGGCAGGAGGTTCAGCTGCTGGCTCAGCTYCCATCACCACCATGTTTCTCTTTTCTGACTCTCCACCCCTTCACAGAAGCTGGGAAGAATAATTTCATGTGTTCTTTCTTTGCTGTTTAGCAAATTTTTCTTTTGTTAAACTGCTGTTTGCAATTTAAACTGAGGTCCAGAGTTGAACAAGGCTGTCTTTTCAGTCTGGAAACTTCCTAAAAAAAGAAGAGTTGTGGTTATCCAGGAGAATGGAGAGACCAATATCCCTCTCTGCCTTTCTTTTTTGTTTGAATTGCGAAAAAAAACCCAAAACCTGTGTTTCTTTAACCTTATTCTCTCATATAATTGATATTGGTGATCACATAATTTAAAAAGGCAAAATATATCTTACCTGCCACCCTGTGATCCTTTTTAATATATTTCTATATATTTGYACTATAAAGTGCAAAATAACAGGTCATGTTATTGTATATGATGGGATATGTAGTTAATTCTAGTCAAGTACGTAACTCCTGAGTCTCATTTCCATAAGGAGATACCATTGGCATAATAGTCATCATTAATCACAATAYTTCCTTCTTTGGAGTCTGTCCTAGAAGATGGGATGTCTCTGTCTGATGTCTAGGGATTTATGTTCAGTGCCATGACTGGCCAGCCCAGTGTCTTTGCTTTATCCTGAGACCAATATAAAAGTTCCACTAAACACTGAGAATTATGCTGTGTATTTTGGAGGCGAAACTAATCCTGGTTCTATCTTCTATTGATGTAGCACTAGGGGAAATGGAAGTGGGTGATTGCAGTACAGAATACATTTAGTTATGAAAGGTCTTAACAACTAACAGCCAAGGTTCCTTATATACTATGATTTTTGGCTACACATGAAACACAGCTATGTGGAGAAAATCCTTTGAGTGGTTGGATCTATTACAGAATCACAGAATATGCTGAGTTGGAAGGGACCCATCAGAATCATCAAGTGCAWCTCCTGGCYCTGCACARAACATCCCCAAGAAATCACACCCTGTGCCTGAGATATTGTATTGTCTAAACACTTGTTGAACTCTGTCAGGCTGCTGCTGTGATCACTTCCCTGGGGAGCCTGCCCAGTGTCCAGACTCCCTATGGGTGAAGAATCTTTTCCTGATATCCAACCTAAACCTCCGTACCTCAACTTCATGCCATCTGCTCCAGTCCTGTCATTGGTAACCAGAGAGAAGAGATCAGTGCCTGTCCCTCCTCTTCCCCTCACGAGAAAATTGAAGACCAAAATGAGATCTCACTCAGTTGTCTCCAGACTGAATAGACCCAGGTTTCCTCAGCCTCATATGACTTCCCTTCCAGACCCTGCACCGTGTGTGTAGACCTCCTTTGGAAACTTTCTAATAGTCCAATGTCTTTTTCATGCTGCACCCAAAACTGCACACAGTATGAGGCTGCCCCAGTGCAAAGCAGAGTGGGACAATCCTTTCCCTTGCCTGGCTGGTGATGCTGTGCCTGATRCCCCCAGGACAGGATTGGCCCTCCTGGCTGCCATACACTGCTGGCTTATGGTCAATTCTTGAACCAGGACCTCCAGGACCCTTTCCACAGGACTACTTTCCATCTGTTTTTCTCATTCCCCCATCTGACTCCCTATTTTAGCTCCTTACATTTTCGTACAGGCAGTTTTCTCCACTGATTGATTGTGGTTCTCTTCTTTGTGTGAATGTATGTCATGGGTGGAATGATGCCTCTGTGGTCAYAGTTCATGCCTTTATAAATCAGGTTTGTTTTGAGGTAGTTTGCTTAAAGTTCTGAGATGAGGAGTCTGGTCAGGTGCAATGGRTTTATTGCAATAACAGCTGTGACAGAGAAGAGGATAACCAAAATCATGAGCAGCACCATAGGACATAGGCTTCTGTCCTGGAGTGAACTATGTGTCTCATTAATAAACGGACCCCTAGCAATTGAGGAGTATTTTGGGAAGTTCCTGCTCTCTCTTCAAAATGCATATATGGCAGAAAGTACTGGAATGCCTTTGCTCAAGCCTCATTCCTTAACGCAGCGCTCCCTGGATAAACGAAATTACATGAGAAAAGAAGCTGGTTTGCTTAAGCAGTAAATACTGGTCAGAGTTGGCATTTGCAAAATGTCATGTTTTAGCCTCCCCAGCTTGGAACAGGAGCTGTCACAGAGGTTTGTGTGCACCTCTGGTGCTGTCRTTGCTGAGGAGCTGGTCCCAGGCAGTGTGACCGTGCTGCTGCTCACTGGTGAAYGCACACCAGTGCCTGGGCACCACCTGCGCCTGTGCTGCCTCCCTGTTCTGGTGTTCCCAGCTGTGACAAGCTGCAGGCTGAACTCGTTAAACTACTGCTGTTTGCTACAGGGAATGACCTGCCAAAAATCTGCACAGCCCTGTGCCACTGGGGCCAGGGGAGTGGGCCCTCCCYGCTCACCCCCGGCCGCCCTGCCTCTACAAAGCAAAGAAATTAATTCTATAATAATCACAGAATGGCATTTTTAGCCTTATGCAAAAACGTCAAAGAAGACAAAGATAAGCATTATTKCTTAATTAAATACGGATTTTACTTTGGTTTTTGTTTTTACWYTAAAAGCAAACCAAAACAACTTTGYGCCAAGCGCTGTTATATCCCAASCCCTTCCTATTTTTTTAATTGTATTTTTATATGCCTGGCAGAATTAATGATGGAAATCTTTCCAGCTGTGACTTTGCCAGAATCCTTTTCTGAAGCTCCTAC